GCACCGCCTGGCTCCCGAGACCCGCGGAGATGGAAGAAGCATTCTTCTTGTCTGGGTGTGGGGCTGGCACTACCCATGGAGCCCTCTGCTGGTCCAGAAAGACTCCTTCCTGCCCGCAGAGCACTTGGTTATTTGTTCCAAGACAAGTTGGTGCGTGTTTATGTGTGTGTGTGCATGCTGGGGATGGAACCCAGAGTCTTTGGCATGCTAGGCAAGAGGTCAACCACTGTTATACCCCAGCCATAAGTACGCATTTTACCAACTCTTTGTACTGTTTCATCTTTTTTTGGTTTGTTTGTTTATTTGCTCTGTTTCCAGTTTCTCTATGTAGACCACATTGGTTTCCAACACCCAATTTTCCTACCTCAGGCTCTCAAGTGCTGGGATTACAGGTTTGCTTTCCTCCCTTCCTCCCTCCCTCCCTTCCTCCCTCCCTCCCTTCCTCCCTCTGTTTCTCCTTCCTTCCTCATTCCCTCCCTTCCTCTCTTTCTCCTTCCTTCTTCCACCCCTCTCTCTTTCCTTCCTTCCTCCTTTCTTTCTTCCTTCCTTCTTCCCTCCCTTCCTTCCAGTAGGCATCCTAACAAGCGTCACAAAGGGAAGGGAGAGTCTAGGGCTGAACAGGTGATATTATGACAGGGAGCTCAGTTTCCCCATGCTGCTGCCCAGGAAGTAGCACTCAGAACTGTGACCTGGCTGGTGTCAACTGAAGAAGCTGCAGAGGAAACTGTGGCAAGAAGCCAGGAGGCAATGAGGAGCTGCTGGTGTGTGTGCAGAATCTTACTTTACTGTACTGTCCTGGAACATCCTGTCAGGTGCCAAAGTGGCTGTCAGGCCCCAGTGGGTCAGGCTGCAAGTCCAGCCCATGTGTCAGTCTACAATCACCAGGAGAGGTGGACTCTGGGGGTACTGAAGTGGACATGGGTGGGTATCTTCCATCTTTGGGAGGGGTATCAACTCTTCTAGGGAAAGGTGAGCAAACTTGAAGATATGTAGGTTGAAGGGAATCTGGGGATCAAACCATGGGGGACACCCCAATTATGTACCACCCCCAGGACCCTGACTTTGACTCAGGCTCATGAGTCATGACTAAAGCAAGTCATGGATGTGGACCTCTGCTGCGACATGTCCTGATGTGGAGCGGAGGGCAGAGAAGCTGAATGAAGCAACGGAGGTCCTTGATGCTCGCAACAGTGGTCACACCTGGCTTTCCAGTACCCACTGCTTTCTCTTCCTTCCCATTTGTAGTTATTCTTGGCAGCACAGCCACCTGCCCATCCCCCTGCCCCCCAACTCACCACCAGTGAATCCCTAACACCCCATCTTGTCACAGTTTGGGTCCTGGAAGCTGACCCAAGATGGAGTTTGGAATAACTGTGCAGTAGGCCCCTGTGACAGAAATGGGAGAATAGGACTGGGCAGAGGGAGTCACAATGTCCCTGCCTGGCTAGGACTTCAGGCAAAGTGGGTATGCAGCTGAGGCCGCTTTGGTGGGGTGGGATATCCTTATTGTCTTCTCACCAGAAACCTTTGAGGGCTGAGGCAATGCCTGTGGTCTCCTTCTTCTTCAAAAAGGGGTCACTGGGTCAGGCTTCTGAGGGCCAGGGAGGGCTGGGCTCTTCTTGCTGCACACACAGCCTTTCACCTGTCCTGGCTAGTGCTTTCTGACTGCAGGTTCAGCCTCTCTGCTTGTACACCCATGAACTTGTACAAATCTATCCAGAGCACATGCTGGAATCCCTGAAGCAGGGTGGGCTGCCCAGGCACATGGAGCACACTGTCCCTGAGGCTTCCTGGCTCTTGGGGAGCCTGGTCCTGCCCCGCGGGGGCAGAGAATCAGGGGGATGTATATGCACATATGTGTCTCCCTCACACACATGCACAGAGGCGGAGTAAGGACAGAGACAGTTCAAGGAAACAGCTCCTGTGATTGTGGGACGAGTTTGGCAGGCTGGGGACCCAGGGAAGAGCTGATGCTCTAGCTCTGGTTGGAAGGCCGTCTGGAGGCAGAATTCCCTCTTCCTTGGAGGACCTCAAGTCTTTTCTCTCAAGGCCTTCAATGAATGGCTCCCGTGGCTCATGCCTGTAATCCTGGCTATTCAGGAGAAAGCACGAGGGATTGAGGGTTTTGAAGCCAGCCTGGGGAAATAGTTTTAGATGCCCTATTTCAAAGATACTCAACACAAAAAAGGGCTGGTAGAGTGGTTCAAGTGGTAAAACACCTGCCTAGCAGGGTCAAGTCTCTGAGTTCAACCTCTAGTACCCACCTTCCCCCCGAAAAAAAAGATGATGTTCTAATTTTTCTTTTCTTTTTTTTCTTCAGTGATCAGAGAGCACTAATAATAGAGATGTTATTATTTACAGGCCCTGGGCGTACAGAGCGTGCCTGCAGGCCACACCAAAGTTGGTTAGATGAAGGAGAGGAGGGGCAGAAGGTGAGGCTGTGGGGCCTCTGCCCTTACTGAGGCTCAGGCATGGGTAAAGTGGACACAGAGAGGAGAGTGGTGGGGATCAGGTGCTGCCCCTCCTGGCTTTGGAGGGTTGCTCAGTGGAGGGGTGGGGGTGCTGCTCAGCTCAGATTTGGGCTCCAGGAATCAAAACTTTGAGTGTAACTTGTGAGGCCACCAGGATATCTGGAACCTTTGGTGCTGCAGCGCAGGAATGTCACAAGATAGAGATCTGGGGATTCAGGAAGCTGAGCCTATTGTCCATGACTGGGAGCCATATTGGGTGTGGCTGTCCAGGGCCACAAGAATATGTTTCTGTATCCTGGTGCCTCCACTCTGGACTCTGGGCCCAGAATCTAGGGTAGGCTGAGGTCTGGGTTCTATTACTTTGGGATAAGGTGTTCAGTGCAGATAGTTTCCCATCCCCACTGGTGGAAAGTGAGACCAGACAGCAGCCAGGATGAAGGTACAGGATCACTGAATTCAGTGATGGGTTCCCCCTGCCCTAACATCAGTGGGGAGATGGATTTGCTGCTCACTGAGGCTGCCCCACCCTCCCTCAGCACAAATATTTCAGCTTCAGCAGCTGGCCTGGGCCTGAACAGGGAGCATCCCGCAGCTCTGGTAGGCAATAGGCTGGGCTGTCAGAGAACACCCCACCTGCTCAGACCCACCAGGCAGCTATGGGGTGGAGGGAGGGCGGGCGTACATGTGTGAGACCCTGAGGACCATGCATAGGAGCGAGGGGAGCTGAGTGGGGCCTGAGTATGAATATCCCTGGCAGCGAACTGGAGGGAAGGATGAGAGGAACCCCTCAGCCCACAGGGGCTGAGATCAGCAATTCTAGCTTCTGAGTGCCATGGCTAGGTCAGTGGGTCCCACACCCACTGCCTAGATGGGAGTAGGAAGGACCCTGGCCATGGTTTTGAGGGTTAGTGCTGCTGCTTGCTGGTTAGTTAGACCCAGAGAGATCTAAGGAAATAAAAAAGATTTAAGAAGAGAGCCCATGTGTGCAGGTGGGTGCAGAGGGTCGACACGCTGCTATGGCACCTTGCTACTGATCAGCCTGGGCATGTGGCTCCCGAGGGAGCTGGCTTTGCTGTTCTGTGTGGAAGGGAGGTCAGGTTTCCCAAGAAACCCCAGAATAGTCCCTGACTGCCTGGAGGAAGCCTGGCCTTCCCATGACAGTCTGGCTCCAGGTCCGCCTGGCCTGGCTCCACTAGCCCATGTCCAGCTGTCTCCTCCCTGAACTGTGGACCCCCAGCTACAGTCCCTGATGGACTTGTTCATTCAACCTGTCTTTAGAGAGTGTTCACCCATTGTTGGCACTGGGAAGGGTGCTGGGCCCATGGGGCAGGGGGGACAAGCAGACTAGCACCACTGGGGCACTGGGATGGGGCTTTCACGAGAAGTCTCACAAATAAGTGATCTTGGTCTATGTGAATGTCCTGAGGCAGAACAGTGGGAGGGCCAGTGCCTCTGGGGAGAAAGACTGGAGGTTGTGCCATGAAGAGGGAGCAGCATGTGTGAGGGTCCATCACGTCCATCTTCTATCCTGCCTTCTGCTCCTGGCCCTTGGCACCCATCTTCGGGTGAGGGGATGCCCAGGCTAAGGAGGGCCAGGAAGGTGTCCTGTAGGGAAGGGCTGAGTCTGTCCTAAAATACAGGTGGAAGGATTTCCCACTCCCAAAAAAGGTTTTTGGAATCCGGACCTCAGGGACCCTGAGCAGCTGGGCCCAGCTATAAACTTGGCTGTCACCACTGCCCTGTGTGCTCTGCCCACAGTGCCACTGCCTTGCATTGCCATTTTGACCAGTCACAGACATGGTGAGACGGCTCCAGCACCCAGAGGAGCCTCTGGTGGGCTGGCTGGGTGGGTCAAGTCAGAGCTTTGGGAGAAGCACCCAGTGGGAGAGAAGCTGGGTCAGGGCCCCCAGGCCAAGAAAATGACCAGAGACAGTGCTTGGAGGTGTAAGGGCCTCTTGGAAAGCCTGAGGAGGAACTTGAGAGTGGGAGGCAGCCAAGGAAGGGGTCAAATAGGGGCCGAGGCTAAGTCCTTCTGCCATCAACACTGTCCCCATTCCAGGGTTTGGTGATACATCCCTCCTTGAAGGCGCTCAGGGACCTGTCGTTGTGAGGGCAGGAGAGGTGTCTGGGTGTTGGACTGTTTCCACAACTGCTCCCCAGCCCTGGCTATGTGCTGGCCTGGAAGCTTTTCCCTGGGAGCCTTACCCCTAGCCGGGTCTGGTTCCTCCTGATTTTGGTCCCGTGTGTCCTTCACCTGTCTCACCTGCTGTCCACTGCCTTAGCCTCAGGGCCTGGCCCACCTGCCCCTGCATCCCTGATGCTTCCCCACATGATTCCCGTGCCCTGGCTCCATGTAGCTCCTGATCCCCTCACCTGATTTTCCCCATGCTGAGACCCTGCCTTGTTTTTGCCCCTTTCAGAGCTTGGATCATCCTGAATCCCCATCATGTGTCACCTTGTCCTAGAAGCCTGCTCTTCACCGCCTTTTTAAACTACACACCCTGAAGAATGGCCATGTAGACAGGTTGACAGGCAGGGGTCACCTCCCACCCTCCTCTAGACAGAGAGGCAAGGGAGGCTCCCAGTGAAGTTGGGTGTGGGTGTCTCCTGCAGACAGAGCATCTATCAGCTGAGCGGATTAAAGACTACAGGGGTCTCTGATATGTTGGGCAGGGAGGGAAATGGGGAGGTGAAGATGGGCAAACTGGAGAGATTCATGAGCCTGCTGGGCATTGGCTTCACAAGAGTGAGCTGGCATCCATGGCCAAAGGTGTGGACAAAGACAGTGAGCTGGGGCAGGTGGTGGTCAATGCAGGCTTGGATTGGGGCCACCTGCGTGTGGAGGGGAAGAGAAGGAACCCATGGGAAGTAGGGCCCAGCCAGCCTTCACTTGAGCCCTGGGGGCTGGCAAAACTTGCAGACAAATGGTTCTTCAACTGTGATGGTTTCCTGGTGTTGATGGGTATTTACCACAAGAAGGCCCAGAACCAGGAGAGTGAGCTGAAAGCAGACTTCTGGGTGTTGGACAAGGAAAGCAAGGGCTAAACTGACTGGAACACACCAAGTAGGGCCTGGGGCCTGAGCAATGGGGTGGCATGTGTGGGTGGTCAGGGTGAACTGAGTGCTATGAGGAGCTGGCTCTCAACAAAGTGGAGGCCAAGCAGATGATGAATGAGGCTGACAAGGATGGGGACAGAACCATTGACTATCAGGGTGAGTGGGGGATGGGCGTTGGGCCCTGAACAGCTGGGCCAGTACAGACTGCTGACCTGCCCCTCTGTCCCCAGAGTTTGTGGCCATGATGACCGGAGAGTCCTTCAAGTTGGTGCAATAGGACAGCTGCTGCAGCTATGGGAGACCTGCCCAGGAAGGCCGCTGCCTACCACTGCCTGCCCTGCCCCCAGCTCTGCATCAAATAAATGCTCCTGCCTGACTCTGGGCTGTGATTCACTGTCCCCAGCTAGAGGAGAGGGGTGTTGAAGAGGAGGGTATGGGACAGTTACTAGACACGGCCCTGGTCACTTCTGCTATGACCCCTGATACCTCCCACTGCCCAAATCTGGGCTCTGAACACCAGCCTGAAGGTCAGATGAACCACATGCTCACCCTGCTTGCCTGCACTGGAGGTGGCTGCCCTAGAGTCCCTCCCGACGCCTTAGGGCCCTAAAGCCCTTCCCAAATAGGAAGAGACCATTTAGACATAAACTTTATTCTCTCTCCAAAAGGCTGAGGACATCTCAGTGGGCCCTGAGCTCCCAAGGCTCAGGACATCTCAGGGGCCTTCTCCAGGCTGAGGGCCTGCCAGGCTGGGCCAGGGGCTGGGACTGAGAGCCTCAGCCCTTCTTGGGGGGAGGGGGTGTCCCACACAGGGCGGATGGGCTGGCCAACATTGCATAGCAAGGAGGCCGTGTCTGCAGCAATGTGCTGGATGGCTGGCCTTCCCAGGGGAAGGATGGTAGGGTGGGCAGGAGTCCTTGGCCCCAGGTGCCACGACTGATGGCTCCAGGAGAGCTCTTATGCCCCTTTCAAGGGGCACCGGCCCTATAGCGAGGGTTGTTGGACACGGGGAGCTGGATCCTGGGGCCCTGGAGTGGTTTCTAGGTCAAAGGCCCCAGGGAGAGGACTGGGTTTCTGGAAGGGAGCTGGCTCCTCCTCTCTGGGTTTTGCCATCTTGATGGCCTCATCGTAGGAGGGTGGCAGCTCAGGGGCATGCAGGCTGTAGGCGGGAGGGGCCATGGAGTCAGGGTCCAACTCCCCGAAGGGCAGGGGCGGCCGCATGCTCAGTGGGTACTGCACGGAGCTGTAGGCTGCGGGGAACCAGAGTGGGTTTGTGGAAAGGGACTCGGCATTCACCCTCCTGGTTCCAACCTCCCAGACTCTGCCAGCTGGTGGGCCCCCAGGTACTCACAGGTCACAGTGCTATGTGCTGGGCTGTCGCTGTCCACAGGCATGACTGTCAAGTCACAGGGCTGCCATGCTGGTGGCAGGTGTGTCTGGGTGTTCGCTTGCTTCCGAAAGCAGCAGAATCGTACACAGCTGGCGGTGACCCCACACAGAAGCAGCAGCAGGACAGCCAGCAGCATGAGCCTGGCAGGGAGGAGCAAGGCCCTACCGCTGGACTCCCCTTCCGCCAGTGGGCACCTGTACCCCGAAGTCAGGCATGCCCAACCACCCAAGACAGGACAAGAGACAGGTGCAAAGAAAGCAGAGGATGTCTGTCCATGCCAGAGACCTCCTTGGCCACAGCCTGCCCTGGTCTCCTGCTGCTGGGCCTGCCCTGGCTGTCTCTCCAGGGCTGGCTAGGGGTGGCCTTGGGATCACTCCCAGGACATAGTGTTCCCTTGTGCCTTCTGCTGACGGTGACCAGGCCTTGCTCCGAGGCAGCTGCGTGCCCCAGTGTCTTCCCACCAGTGGGCTGGGAGAGTGAGTGTGTGCGGAGGGGTACAGCACAGCCAGCCAAGTGCAGTGAGGAGGTCTGGTAGGCCTGGCCCGGGTCTCCCCCCAGGTGAACCTTCGGACCATCGGCTCCGCGCCTGGGCCTTCACTTACCCCACGTGCCACAGGCTGCTCCAGCGGGCCTGCGGCGGGCACCTGCGGGGACGGTGGCACCTGGAGCGGGCGTGGCATCGGCCTGGCCGATCTCACCGCCCGATCCTCCCCGCGGCGCGGGCCGGGCCAGGCCAGGCCAGGCCACGCCTCCCTCCCCCGCCCCGACTTACTGGTTTGAGGGGTCGCAGCTGTCGTCCTCCGCAGAACCCAGCGCCACCTGTGGGGACAGGGGTGAGCCCGGGAGGGGCGTGGCCGAGCCCAGACCCGCCCTGTATACTTGAACGCCACGCGCGACCCGACCCACCTGTGACAGCGGCAGAAGCGGCAGCAGTAGGAGGAGCCCATAGGCGGCCCGCGGCCCCGCAGCCATGTTCGGCGGGGACAGCGGAGTGCAGCCCAGCAAGCAAGCGCTTTTATGAAGCACTGCCCCGCCCACCATAGGGGTGAAACCAATCACCGTGAGGCCACGCCCAAATTAACCACGCCCCCACGCCACGCCCACGGTCTCTCTGCCCTTAGAATGCTTCGCTCCGGGTGAGCCCCGCCCCTTACGGCCCGGCTGTCCGGTTCCCTCTGCCCGCCCCGCCCAGGGCCGGGCCTCGCAGCGACTTGGGCGCTTAGGGTCTCCGGTCAGGGTAGGTCTTGCCCTCGGCGTGGACATGGGCCTGTCCTGCAGCTGGCTGGATGTGGCCTGCCGTCCCCAGTTGTTCTCATGGAAAGCTGTGACCCGGGATGCACTGGGTGTGGCTTCTTTGAGGGACAAATGAAATCCACCCTCGCACACACCAGCGCTCCAGGTAAAGAAGGGGGCGTTTCACTGTCAGGACGCTGGGCTTCCAAACAAGCCGTCCATGGACATTTGCTGTTGTACTCATACTGTGGGCACTGTCTGAGGGCCGGCCCACCCGGACTGGAGCCAGTCCCCCTCCTTCCCCTGGGAATGCTTGCTGGTCATTCTGCTGTGGGGGGGCTGGGCTGCTTCTTCCAGGTGGACTTGTGTTTCTTGTTCCTGGCTACTCTGCCCTTTGCTTCCTTCTGCCCTTCCACTATGCCCTTCCACTAACCGTGGGACCAGCAGCACAGTCTGGTGGTCAGCACAGCAAAAGGGGAGCCCCGACCCTCTCCCTGCCTTTTATTTCCTCACTGCTCAGGACATACCCTCAGGATAATGTTCACATGGTTGCCCCCGCTGGAGGAAGGCAGACCTTTCAGGGCTCTGCCAACAGCTGTCCTGCATTCCCACAGGGCCCTTCCTTCTTGCCCAGCCCCAGCCAGGCCCCTGAGCTTGGCTACTGCCTTCCTTCCTCCTTGCCACTGCCTTGGCTGTGCTTGGTATTGGAGGGCCAGCACTTGAGCAGGAAGAACCGTACAAGTGCAGCCTGACTCCAGGAAGCTCATGTGGGTCCTATGCAGAATAGTCAGGCCTGGGTTTAGAAGGGAGTGCCCTGCCTGGGGGCAGTGACTTCCCTGGAACACATCCTTGTGAGGCTCATCTGGCCCAGTGGACCTCCCTTCTCCTCTCATCTGGCCTGGAAGCATGCCAAGGGTCTGGGGTCATGGCTGGTCAGCCACCTTCAAGACCATTGGACAGAAGTCCTGCAAAATGCCTACCTGCTCAGGTACGGGCAATGGAAGGCTTCTAAGTACCAAGGGCACTGAAGGTACCTAGAAGGGAAGTGTTCAGGGATGTGCCAGGCTAGGGAAGGCTGCATATGCTCTCCTGGTGGCTGGTTCCGGTCGGGGGACAGGGTGGGGTATGCTGTGATGACAGGAGGGCCAAGCAGTCAGAGCTCTGTGGGGAAGTGTCCAGCCAATCACTCTGCAGGGGGCAAGAGCTGGTAGGGCAGTGGGATCGTGATGCAGGAGCACATCGTGTCGGGAGTGGGGAGCAGTCTTCTCCTTGGAAGGATGGGTCAGGACCCAAAAAGCAGAACCCATTCTTTTCAGGCTGGGCCTCCCCTTGGCCCCTGGCTTGGAGCGGAGGATGTGGGTGAGCTGGGCCCTAACCTTTGCCCAGCTTTTGCTTGGGGTCATCAGGGCCCTGGAACTTGGAAGCTGAGAGCATTGAGGGACCTTCCCTGGGATTTGGAGCCCATTGTCCCCTTTTCCTTCCTCCCTGTACCTCTCCAGGTTTGGACCAATCTCCACTCCGACCTTGCACCTAAGCCCCCTGACCCCCGAATTGCCTGCTATGGCCCTCAGTGAATCAGTTTAGGGTTTTCCGGCCTCTGGGCTGGGGTGATCTTCCAGGGCAAGATTGTCCCCCTCCGGAGGGCCTCACCTGGCAGAGTGCACTGTTTCATTGGTGAAGCATGCAATGTGAGCACATGCATGAATGCGTATGTGTTTGATTGAAGGGGGGTGACTGCTTCTCTGGGGCCCCGCTTCTCACTCTGTGCACGGTAGGCTGTATGAGTTGGCTCACAGAGTTTATTGACAGCCTGAGGATAGGGCTTTCCCTGGGGCCTCTAGGGTCTGGATGGGTGCTGGTGGGTCTGGGGGATCCAAGAGGGTCAAGCTAGGAGCAGACTGTGGGTTTAACTGGTCTCATCAGTGGTTCTGAGTCGGGCTGTGTATGGTGTTCTCCAGCTCTAGGCTCCCTGGGTTCAGGGCAGCAGGAATCAGTCATGTCCATGGAGTGCGGAGTTCTGGGCTTGGGTCCGTACAGAGGGCTGCCTGTTAGAACCTATCCTGCAGGGGACACCTAGGTCCCAGGCCTCAGGGTAGAGTGGGGTTTGGCCTGGCCCACAGCCAGGGCAGGGCTTCGAGGGTGGGCAGGAGGGTCGCAGGGGCTCTGTGGAGAGGCTCCTGTGGCCTAGGGACCAGTCACCACACGGGCTACAAAGATGATCTTGTAGGTCTCTTTTACGTCTCCCCTGACCTGCAGCAGAGCTGACACCATGAGTGGATGGTCCGGCTGGGGCAGGAGCAGGTGGGAGAAGGGGGACCCTCAGTCGGCAGGCTCCCGGGGCAGAGCCATGGTCTTTCTCACTACCCTGCCCTACAGGCTCCATGGCCACCCTTCCCTGCGGTGGGGCAGGGGTGTCACAAGCCCAGCCTGGGGTCCCCCCTGCACCTACATCAAAGTCAGTGGGCGGCATCCAGGAGATGCTGATGGTCTTGGTCTGGCCTCGCTCCACAGAGCCTCTGGTGGGCTCGATGGAGAAACCCTTGTGCTGCAGCAAAGTGATGCTGTCCAGGCTGAACTCAACGGTCTGTGAGGCATTGCACTGCTGAAGGCTGGTGGCCAGGCACTCCCAGGAGGCAGTGGGCTGGGCTGGGCTGGGGGTGAGGATGCCCCACTCCACCCACCCCTCCACTCTAATCAGGGGCTGCCCATCCCACTGCCCATCCCACTCCTGCCATAGGAAGTCCTAGGCAAGCCCACGGAGGGGCAAGTCCAGGAGAGGCCAGAGAGGCTTCCAGGGTACCACTTGGAGTAGTGCTGTGGTCACCTTCTTTGCAGATGGCTGGGTGGTCCGGATACAGCCCACCTGCAGCTCACGAGTGGCAGGTGGGGCTGGTGTGTCCGAGTCAAACTGAACGCAGTCCAGGGTCACCAAGATGGGCTTTGGTTCCTCAGCTTCTGGAGAGGGAGGGCCTCCCTGGGGGCTGGCTGTGTGGAGGGATGTAGCTTGGGCAGGGAGGGGAGTTGTCCAAGGTTGGGTAGAGCAAGGGTGGGGTGGGGTTTAATTTTCTTAAGCATTCTGGCCAGAAGTGCCTACCCTGTCTGACTCTGGGGGTGATGGGTTGGGAATCCCTGTCCTCCTCCCTGGCCACAGTGCATCCACTTGCTGGCTGGGGTTGCTGGCTGGTCCTCTTTGACTCCCTGAGGTTGTCTCTGCCTCCCCTCCCCCAGCGCCACAGTTCCCACCTTCTCTATGCTCGGGGTCCAAGGCGGAAATCTCGGTCAGACTCCACAGGCACATCCAGTGGGTCCCCACCCTCCACGAACATCATGTGCTCTCGTGCTGCACCCCGCAGGAGGATCTGGTGGGAGATTTTCTGGGGACAAGAGCACACCAGCCTGTCCCTGCGGCTCTACGACTGGGGTCCGAGCCTATCTTAGGGTGGGGCACCATAGGATTACGGATGCTGGTCTCTGCTTGACATCTCTAACGTGGTACCCACAGAGCCACCAGGTGATCAAGGCCTCTGAAGTGGCAGGGAGGGGATATACAGCGGGTGCCTTCCTAGGTGGGATGGGGTCCATGGGGCCAGGCCAGGTCTCCAGCTGCACCTTTTCAAAGAGCACCACTTGGAGCTGGTCCGAGAAGTATAGGCTCTCGTGGTCGGGGCTGAAGGTCACGGTGAAGTCCTGTGCCTTCCCGGGGAACATGAGGCCCTCCACAGGTGTGACGCTGAACACACTCTGGCCATTGTGGTTCTGCGTGCCTGTGGGCAGGGCAACTGTGGTAGCTGACAGCCCCTCTGTCCCCTAGCCCTGCTCCACCGAGCTGGGAATTATGCCACTCTCCTGCCCGGCCAGCACAACCCTCTGCACCCTCTTTGCCCAGCCTCTCCACAGCCTGTCCGGCCCCATCCCTCACTGTCCTGCACCACTCCCAGCATCCCCCTTTCTAGGCAGTTCTGCCAGCTCACCCACAACTTCTGTCCTCTGGGCTGATGAATCCAGGAACTTTGGAAGCTGCTGTCGGGCCTCCACCCTGCTGCTAGAAAGGCTCTCCAGCTTCACCCAGAACTTGATGGGGAGCGAGGAGTCGTTCTGCAGCTACCAAGAACAGGACATCACACTCCAGCACACCCCAGGCTGCCCTCTGCCTGTGGTCAGTGCCCAGGACTTGGTCACCTGCCACTGAGTTCAGGTGGCAATATGGGGACCAGGTGGCAATATAACTCCAAGCCCCACCTGGTAGTGTCCCCAGCAGTGACCATGCTGACCGTCACAGCAGAGATTTGGACTGCCATACCCACTCTGGCTCATCCATCTCCTGTTGGTCCTTTTCAGCCTGGTGGCCAGGTCTGTGATGCCATCTATTCTTCGGAGCTCCCCTTAGTGGAACCCAACCCACATCCTTACCCCAGCCTCTTTCTTGCCCTCAGTCCCCTCTCCAGAGAGCACCCCAACCTATATAGTCCCAGTTTTGGGCTCTGCTTCCAGGACCCCGCCTGAGCAGGCGGGCAGGCAGGTGTTCTGTAGGCTGCTTGGGCCCAAGGCTGGGGCATTCCTTAGAGGAAGGGCACCTGAGCCAGGCCTGCCCTCATACACAGGTGAGGAAGTCCACAGGGCAGCATGGCTTCTTTCTGGATGTCTGCAAACTCTCACCCCAGCTGTCTGAGTTGAGCTCCGATGGGGCAAGTATTCAAGTAGCAAAGCAGGAGAGGGGTGAAAGGGGGCCCTATGCAAAGGCCCTGAGGCAGAAGGACAGGGGCACTGAACAGGACAGTGGACTAGGGGTGGGGGCAGCCTCCCTCTCTTCCAGAGGACACACTGCACCTTGAAGCTTGAGGAGAGTGACTCTCTGGCAAGCACGTAGCCCATGTTGAGGACGTCACCTTCAATGGAGCATGTGATCATGGATGCCACACCAGTTCCCATGAAGGTGAGGGTGAGGGAGCCTCTCTTGGTGATGATGTCCAGTGTTTCTTGAGCCTAAGGAGACCATGTCTCTTAGCAAGGATCAGACGTCCGTCAGGCACATGGGGCACTCTGTTCCTGAGCGTCTGGCTCGGGCACATGCTGGTGAGACAGCCTGGAGTCCCTACAGCCCTCTGCCTCCTCTGACTTGCCAGCCAGAGCATGGCTAGGACGGCCAGCCACTTGCAGACCCTGGCTTGGTCAGTTCTGGGCCTGTGTTTGTCTGCAGCCACGATGTGTTCCTGAAGTGTGTGGGGCCCAGGGCTACAGCCTCCCCCGGGCCTGGTACTCACCAGGATGCTCTCTTGGGGCGAGAAGGACAGCACTAGGTTATAAGTCTCACCCGAGCGCAGTTTGGGGGAGGGGTTCAGCAGGACAAAGGGGCCATTGGGGTTCAGCACTGAGAACTCCATCTGAGGGTTCAGTGTCAAGGAGTGAGACATGGCCTCTGTGGGCTCTGCCACAGGCCCCATCCTGCCCCCTGCAAGTTGCCTGTGCCTGTGTGGACAAGGATACGGCAAGGTCCTCAGAGGAGATATTCTGGAGGGTTACCTTCTTTATCCCGCGGTGTCCTAAAACAAAGGGTCAGAGAGTGTTAGGTCACAGGCCCAACCCGAGGCTCTAAGGAGCACCTCTTCCTATGGTGAGGATGGATCCCTGAGGTGAGGGGTTCATGGGGGGTGTCAGGGTCCAGTCAGGACACACCTACGGCGATATCCCCAAAGTCGAAGACCGTCTTGCCTTTGCCGGATGTCACCACAATAGCTGGAGCCACCGTTGGACACCACAGCTCCAGGTACAGGGTGTTGTGGGGGCTGGGGAGGGACAAGGGCATGCTGAGGGCAGAGCGGGGTGGCCCTGTGCCCACCCGGACCTCAGATTTGGTCAGTAGCAGAGGAGGGGCAGTCAGTTTGTGGCCAACCACGCCCCATCCTGTCCCCAGCATCTCACACCTGAAGTTCAGAGGTTCCAGTGCCTTCCTGCCTTTGACATCACCACTAGCAACAACACAGGGAACCACAAACTTGTCAAACGTTGCCTGGAAAGTTCTGGTCAGTTTGGCCTGGGCGATCTGGTACTGGTTAGAACTGGAATGAAGTCATCAAGATATATTCATGTCCCTGATCCCCTCAACCACAGGCTCTGCCCCTGTGCTCCTCAGCATAGGATCAGCGACTCCCAGACAGAAGGGGTCCATGAGGCCACATCTACTCCCTAGGGTCCTGGCTGAGTAGCCTTTCTGGGGAGACGAAGGGGTAAGGAAGAGGCAGCAGCCAGGGACCAGGTGGGCCCCAGGAGGAGGCTTTCCCAGCTCTGTATGGCAATGCAGCTTTCTCAGTGGCTTCTGTGGGGACATTCTCCATCACTCCTGGGTTCTGGTCAGCCACGAGGGAGCCGGTGGCTTTGGCACCTTACTAGGGGCAAGTGGCCTAAGCCATTGGGGCTTTTCCTGAGCTCACCTGCACACTAAGAAGGCTGAAGTCTGCTCAGGGAGAGGGCAGGCTTAGGGGAACGGGTGGACAGATGCCCAGAGGGGAGCATCTGGATCCAGCTGTCTGAAACCCAGTCGGCCCTGGACCTCTAGCCACATAAGTCGGTGCAGCTGTGCTCCAGGCCATTTGTGGGGAAAGCCTCCATGAGGCCAGATGGGGAGAGGTGGGGCGGGTCCCCCCAGCCCACCTGGCATCGAGCTCCTGCTTCTTCACCTCTGGGACATGGGGTGTGGACACCCGGAGTATTCGATCCCGGGGTTGCGTGCGCATCGCAGACAGGGACTGCTTCCACAGCTCCTTCCTTTGAGTGGTTGTGTCTTTTCGGAACTGTGGGGTAGCAGTGGCTGTGGGGCTGCCCCAGGGGCTCTGCCCTCTGCCCAGGAGGCACTACACTATCCCCCCCAGAAGACCTGGGCTGACCAGAGCTGTGGGAGCCAAAGGTTCAGTTTTGGACTGAATGGGACCCCAAATCCACTGTGCCCTTAGGAAAGACTGACAGGTACCACAGTATTAAGCAGTGGAGAAAGGTGAGTGTTCAGGGGATGCATGAGGTACCAGTGCAGAGACCCCTGAAGCTGCTCACTGACTGCAATGTCTGCAGTGGGGAAGCTGGGAGAATGGGGGCAATGAGCCCGCAGAACTGGGGTCCCCTTTCCCCGACACCTCGCTGCCTCTCTGGTGAGTAGAAGGCCAGTGCTCTTCACTTTTGTGGTCGTGTGTGGTAGCATATACCTTAATATCAGCTACTCAGGAGGTGGAGATGGGGGATTTGAAGCCAGCCCCAGCAAAAAGTCAGCAAACCCCACCTCAGTCAACAAGCCAGGCATGGTGACATGTGCCTAAGACCCCATCTATGCAGAGAGCATAGGTACAAGGATTGCATTCTGAGGCTGGCTCTGGTAAAAACATGAGACCCTATCTGAAAAATAACTAAAGCAAAAGAAGGGCTGGGGGCGTGGCTCAAGTGGTAAAGCACCTGCCTAGCAAGCATGAAGCTCTGAGTTCAAACCCTAGTACCACCACCAAAAAAAAAAAAAATTGTGCAAGTGAGTGACCACACACAGCTCTGGGGGTTGGCACAGTGTACACGGAAGCACATGGTGTTGGACAGAGCCTGTGGGCAGGATGCCTGCCACTGCCAGGGCCTTCCCCAGGTGACTTCGAGAGGCTGGGCAGGTCTCAGTCCTGCCTTGGTCACAGTCCCAGCCTCTCTTGGGGATCTCAGCTCTGGCTCTGCCACCTGGTGGTGCTTTCAGGGAGTGGAGGCTCCTGCAAGAAAACCTTTTCCCTCTTGGACATAGCTTGATGCACCTTGCTCCCCATACACCTGTTCCTGGGACCTTCTGCAATCCAAGGCGCCAGAGGCCTGTGCCCCCCCCATCCTAAGGCACCATACACCTGCCCTTGACACTCCACGCACTGGCTTGGTCTCCATTTCCTTGTTCAGTATTTGCATGGCTTCCTCGATGATCAGCTTGTGGGGTAGCACAGGCCTGAAGGCCACCTGGACCAGGCACCTCTGCGGGGAGACACAGAGCTGCCACCTTCCCTCCCAGAAGCCCAGAGGGCATAGGAGGCCCTACTGCTGCACTGCCCACTACTCAGAACTCGCTCCTCTGCATCCCAGCCTGGATCCCCTCAGGTCACCTTTTTGAGATTCTGGTCTAGATGGGCCCCTCCCAAAAGGGCTTCCCAGGCAATGCCCCAAGCAGCTGGAGCGGGCAGAATGGGGTGAGGTCCATGATGGAAAGTGTTGAGAACAGAGTTCTGGATGGGTTAGGACCTCACCCACTGCCTGATGGCCCAGCAATAAGGGGAAACCTGTTCCCCATCTGCAAGTCCTCATGGAAAGATGTCTCCATGACAGATTCCACAGTGGTTCAGTTCATTGTAAGTGTAGGGGGTGACATGATGGTGGAGAAGGAGAAGAAGGGAGGGAGAAGGGGGGAAGAGAAGGAAAGAGGGAGAGAGAGGGGACAGAAAGAAGGGGGGAGGTGGAGAGAGAAAAGTGGGTGGAGCAAGCTAGCATCTGTGATAGTCCACTGGAGACAGAACCAGTACTTAAGTGGTATTTGTAATGAAACACATTTCATTAATTGTATTTTTTGAAACCCTGCCGGAGGCCAGGCAGGACACTGGATGGAAAGGGGCCACAGTCCTGCACTCCCTGTACCCTGTCTGCTGTGAGATCCCAGAGTTTGCCCTTGCTCCAGCCCCAGGCGGGTGCCTCTGGGCCATCTGTCAGATGCTCCCTGCCCCTTGGGTCAGGCAGGACCTCTTCCTACTCCCCATGTGGCAGAGCCAGGCACCCCGAGAGTAAGGCATGGTAGCCTGGAGCCCCTGCCTCCCTGCTTGCCAGTGAAGCCTATGCTCACCTTTCCTGGCAACACGGTCCCCACCGAGGGTGAGATGGTGATGGGTGAGTTGGGGGGCAGCAGGAACTCAAAAGACGTTGGTCCCACTGGGGAGGCTTCCTCGGAGCCGATGCGGGGCAGGGAGTGAGTCAGCTTGTTCATGCTCAGGTGGGAGTTGATGACGTATACCGTGGCCACTGAGGTGTCATACAGTGCAGTGGCTGCAAACTTGATCTGGTAGTGGGACAGCTCCAGGGGTGGATGGACACCCACGGCTCGGCAAGATATCTTGAAGCACCTGGAAGAGACCAGTGGCAGGGGAAGGTGCTCAGATATGAAGGGGCATCTGTGGTCCCTCTGTGACCCTGAGCAGGGGACGGGGGAGACACAGCTCCCCATGTGTTGGACGCCGGTGCCCACAGACAGGTGGCCTGGGGGGGGGTTGGTATCCAGGACTCATTCTTGCATTTGTCACAGTCGTTTGCTGCCCTGTTAACATCTGGTGGGTAACTAACACTTGATCCTGAAGCTTCAGCAGTTGCAAAGGAAGTAATTCCTGCCTTATGTTGCATGCTTATTGACATTTAAAAGCTAAAACTGGTAAGTCACTCTTGAAATGTAAGCAGGGATTTCTATACACCATGGTGAATTGATTCCCCATCACCAAACATTAAGAAAAGAGATGTTTGAAAATTTCACATTCCACGTTTTCCTTGAGCTCACACTCATCGCCTTTTCCCCATCAACGTTTACCTGCAGTGCTAGGCCTCATGCCTGCTGGGCAAGCACTCTCGTTGAGCTGCACCTCAGCCTTCTTTTTTTTTTTTTTTTTTTTTTTGTGGGACAGAGAGGGTTTGAACTCAGGGGTTTGTTCTTGCAAAGCAGGCGCTCTACCGCTTCAACCACACCTGCGAGTCCATTTTCTCTGGTTATTTTGGAGATAGGGTCTTGCAAACCATTTGCCTGAGCCAGCCTCTAACCTTGATCTTCCTGATCTCAGCCTCCCAAATAGCTAGGATTACAGGAGTGAGCCACTGGTGCCCATCTAATTACATCAATTTTTAATGCTTTAAAGGCTAATGTGGATTAGTCTATTATACTCATCTATAAATAAAATGTCTTCAATACTGAAATATTCTTTTCTTTCTTTTTTTGGGGGGTGGTGGTGGTACTGGCGTTTGAACTCACAGCCCTGCACTTGCTAGGCGGGTGCTCTACCACTTGAGCCATGCCATCAGCCCTTTATACTTGAACTTTTTTTTTGCCTTTTTCTTTATTGTTGTGCTGGGTGGGTACATTGTGACATTTACAAAAGTTGTTATGATGTATCAAATATATTATATTCAAATTCACCTCCTATGCTTTAGTTATTTTTCAGATAGGGGCTTGAATTTTTGATCAGGGCCAGCCTCTGACCAAGATCCTCCTACCTCTGCCTCCCATATAGCTGAGATTATAGATGTATACCACCACTCCTGGTTTATTTATTGAGATGGGGTCTTGCTACTTTTTTCCTGGGCTGGCCTCAAACAAAAATCCTCCTGATCTTTATCTCTCAGGTAGCTGGAATTACAGAAGTGAGCCACCACATCTGGTCTTATACTTTCCTTCCTTCTTTCCCTCCCTTCCTTCCCCCTCCCTCCCTCCCCTTCCCCCAGTCCCCTTCCCCCTCCGTCCCTCCCTCCTTCCTTCCTTCCTTCCTTTCTTTCTTATGGGACTGGGGTTTGAACTGAGGGCTTTGCAAAGCAGGTACTCTACCAAATGAGCCACACCTCTAGTCCATTTTGCTCTGGTTATTTTTGGAGATGGAGTCTCTCAAACTATTTGCCTGGGTTGGCCTTGAGCCACGACCCTCACGGTCTCAGCCTCCTAAGTAGCTAGGATTACCGGTGTGAGCCACTGGCGCCTGGCTCTTTTTCTACTTCTTGAAAAAGCAGCTTAGTGACACTGGCACACAGGGTACATGCATATATGTGCATGTAGTTTACAGGCACAGAGTTGCATAGTGAAAGACAGTGGAACTTGGAAGTATTGGCTCTTGGGCAGGAGGAAGAACAAAGGTAATTCTTGCCACAGGTAGAGTATTTACTTCTGTAACTGAGGCAGATATGATAAAAACGTGAACGGTATTTTGGGTGGGGGTACATGCCATTGGTCATCTGAGTTCTCGGGTTATCTGAAGGCAGAGGGACAAAGAAAGCACAGAGCGAAGGAAGGTGGAGATGCAGAAGCAGAAGAGAGCCCTCGGGCCATCAGGTTAGAGTGGCTACCCAAACTGGGCTCCCCACTAAGAGTCCAGAGGAGATGACTGGGCATGGAAATGAGCAGCAGAGAAAGATCAGATCACAAAGCTGACAAAGAGCACAAGGGAGGACGACATTCACACCGGTGAAGGGACAGTAGAGGAACAAAGTCTGTGACATGGCGAGGGGGCATGTCAGACACATCTGCATCCATGAGTCCCTTATTGTACCCTCCTCCAAACTGCACCCACCAGCTCCTGACTTAGAAAATGTGAGAGGGAAGAAGCAAGTCTTTGACCTCCTTTGCTTAGGAAGCATGCCACTGAATAATAGCAGAAATATGCCAGCAAGTGCCTGGAGCAGGAGGGTTTGAGCTGGAATAGCGTCTTTTGGCAACTCCTGGTGGAGCTAGGCCTTGAGCACAGAGGCTCAGGCATCACCGGCTGCCTGGTGAGGGACCTGCTACCACTCAGCTGCTGGGAAAATCAAACTGGAATCTGGCTGGCCGGGGCTCCAGTGACTGATTTATCTATGACGCTGAGCAGAGGGATGTGTTCACTGATGCCAGAGGGACACAGGAAAATCCCACCCGTGGGGCTGGCAGAATGGCTCAAGTGGTAGAGCACCTGCTTAGCAAGCGTGAGGCCGAGTTCAAGCTCCAGTAGGACCAAAAAAGAAAAGGAAAATAAAGCCAGATGTGGTGATGCATACCTATAATCCCAGAACTTGGGAAGCTGAGACAGGAGGATCACAAGTTCAAGGGCAGCCTGGGCTACATATAATGACCCCATCCCTAAAAGAGAGAGAGAGAGAGGAGCCAATTGTGGTGGTACATGGCTGTAATTCCAGCATTCTGGAGGTAGAGGCGGGAGGATAGAAAGTCCAAGGCTAGCCTGGGCTACAGAGTAAGACCCGGTCTCAAAAAGAAAGAGAGATTGTGGGGTGTGTGAGAACGAGGAGCCAAGGCGGGATCCAGGGTTCTGGCTGGAAACGGTGGAGCTGCAGGGAGGCAGCTTTGGACGGGTGGGGAGGAGAGAGGGGTCCTCTCAGTGCCGCACCTGCACCTATGAGTGCCATGACGGGGGACCCAAGGCTGCCTCTGAGTGGGGCCGCCAAGCCCCTGGCCACCCCACACTTTCTTTCCTGAGGTGACCGGGGGAAGCCACCTAGGACACTGACATGGTCCCGGCTCACTTTTGGTAACTTCTGTTTACAGGTGGATCGTTTTTAACAATGAAACACAGATTCTCACCGATGGTTCTGCAGCTTGGTGGAAGGGTGGAAAGAAAAGACAGGCTCCTGGGTGAGCTGGCTGGAGACAGCATGGGGTGCTCTGGGAACTGACTCAGCAGCTCATGGCCTCCGCCCCAGAACGTCCTCCCCAGGCTGATCCCCCCCGGGCCCTTCGTGTGGCCCGGACCCCAGCACCTTTTCTCCCTCTCCCTACTTTCCTACTCCCGCCCCCCGAGCCCGCTCAGCACGCACCTGCCGTGTGCAGAGGGGCTTGCACACCACCCGCTCACACTCTCGCCCACCCACAATCAGAGGCACACACGCTCACACACGCTCACACAGACTGCAGACAAGAACGCTCACTCTTACCTGTACACACGTGCACTCTCGCACACGCACACACTCACCCATACTCACGCATGCACGCCCACTCAAATGCGAACTCCCTCACACACATGCCCACGAGTTCGTGGGTGCACACTGGCACGCGTGCACGTGTTCGCGATGCACTCACACCTGCCCACGGAAGCCATGCCACGTGCTGCTTTGCACTCGTGTCCACACGCTTGCTCTCACTCCTCTCACACAAGGGTGAGCTGGGCCACAGTGAAAGGCCACGGGGGTGCAGGCCTGTTCTCCTGTGTCTGGGGCTCAGCTCTGTGATTAGCCTGGTGGGGTCCAGGGAGAGCCGGGTGAGGAGGACTGGGAAGGCTGAGCGGGGCCATGCATTCCCTCTGCCCCACAGGCTCACCGGTTTATCTCAGATTTGCAAATCAGCTCAAAGCTGTATTCCTTGGCTTTGGTGGGCTGGAAGAGCAGGTCGAGTTGCAAAGTCTCCAATGGCATGATCGTCCCAAACCCGTCGTTGGGCTGGATGTCCACAAACTGGGAAATTGGAACACATCCGTGCCAGAGTAAAACTGGTGCTCTGTGGGGGAGTCTGTGCGGGGCGGGTGTGAGTGTACATGCTGGTGGGAGTGTGCACATGAGTGTGTGTGAAGCTGGGCATGGTGGTTCACGCCTGTAATCCCAGCACTCAGGAGGCGGAGGCAGGAGGGTGATGAGTTCGAGGCCCTACTGGGCTACATAGCAAGCCCCTGTCTCAATAACCAGCCACTCCCCCTGAAAAAACCCCCAGAGGGTATGTGTATGCTTGTGAGTGTGAGTCTTCAGTGCTGCTGAGTTTGTGGAGAGTGGACCAGGGTTGGTGTGGGCTGAGGGCACCAGGCCTGAGCGTCCTCTTAGGCTGTCATGGAGGGTCTGAGCAAGGAAAGTCCTGGAAGGCAGGGAGGGAGAGAGACTGGAGCTCTGTGGGTGTACCACACCAGAGGGAGGGAGAAAGCCAGAAAGATGGGGGGCCAGAGAGAGGGGGCAGCCAGGACAGGAGAGGGACGGCTGGGAGGCAGCAGCAGCCAGGTGTGCAGGGCAGGATGGCCACTGGTGTCCAGGGCCTAAACCTGGAGCAGCGGCTGCTGTGGTCCCGTCCACCATGTCCCCTACGTCCCCCACCTCCCTCTCCTCTCCAGGGCCTGACCACGGCAGGTACCTTGGGAAGTCCAACAAACCCAAACTCCTGGGGCAGGAGCGAGTGGTTGGTGAGGCTGATCTCTGTCCTGATGGCCTCGTAGATGGTGCAGTACCCAAAGTCCACCTCTGCGGGGAAGACTTCCAGGTCCGAGGTAGTGACAATGGCTTGGACAGTGAACTCCACTGGTTTGATCTGAGGTGCGAAGGGCCAAGCACACTCTCAGACACTGGCAGTGTTTATACAATGACCCCCCGAACAACAAACGCACCGGCATTCTGCTGCCTGTGGCCAACAACGCACAGTTTCTACAGTGAGTCTCTCACCAGTGCCCTTCCCTGTGGCCGTGAGCACCTGGGCCAGGGTGTGGGGTGGAGGAGGGAGGTGCAGGCAGCAGCAGAGGGACCCAGCGGGTGTGACGGTGTGAGTGCACGAGGCTGTGTGTCTGGTACATTGCATGTGTGCATGTGTGTGCATATGCACCCACGCCACGGAGAGCACACTGTGTGCACGTATGATAGGTCCTCGTCCGAGTGTGTGGGCACACTTCCTGTGTGCGTGTGCAGGTGAGGTGTCTTGAGATAGTCCTGCCCAGCTGGGGGTGGACGTTGCTCTCTGGCCCCTTCTTGTAGCTGTGTAGGGGCTGTGTGGGGCCCAGGCAAAGGTGTCTGTCAGGCCTCTGGACAGCCCACCAGCAGGCAAGTGGACCAGGGCTTTGCTCTCCCAGGGGTGCAGGGCCTGGCCTATCACAGTAGCCCTCTGTTCCCCAGAGCTGCTCCTATTCCTCCTGGGAGGGGCCCTGGACAGACCTGGTCAGCCACCCAGATTGTCATTGGAGCCTCCAGAACCCGGCTCTCCTTGTCAAAATACTTCCCCGCATCTTCCGGGAGGGAGTGTCTGCAAGAGGCAGGGTGAGAGTACAGCGACTGCACAGTGACAGTAAAACTGACCTGCACTTGGTGCTTTTAGATCACGCAAGACCTGTGTAATGGATGGAGTGGATTTGCTTCAAGATTCACCTGGTGCCGAAGCTCCTGTTCTCACGTGGACCCAGCAGCTAATGTGTGCACCTGTGCATTTTAAGACCTCTGGATGTGTTAGCACTACAAGCAGCAAATCACTCCAGGGCAAGTGGTACTGGCAGGTGCGCTGTGATTAAGTGACCCAGACATATTTCTGAATGGTTGCGTTTGAATAAGCAGAAGTAAATTCAACAGTTGTGTTTTAATTAATAAGGATGCTGTCACTTAAAGGAATGCTAAAAAGCCCCTTTGACAATCCTGGCTGCTCAGGAGGCAAAGATTGGGAGGATCAGGTTTTGAGATCAGTCTGGGGAGAAAAAAGTTAGCAAGTTCTATCTCAACTAATATGCCAGGTGTTGTGGTACTCATCTGTAATCCCAGCTACTGGGGAGGTATAGGTAGGAGGACAGAGCTCCATGCCAGCCAGGAAAAACACATGACCCTATTCTGAAAAATAACTAAAGCAAAAAGGGCTGGGGGTGTGGCTCAAGTGATAGAGCATCTGCCTAGCAAGCATGAGTCCCTGAGTTCAAACCCCACTACTGGGAATGAGGCTCAGTGGTAGTGCTTGTGCCCGGCATATGCAAGGCCCTGGGTTCCATTCTCAGAACCCCCCCCCAAAAAAGTTGCTCTTGCCAGGCATGTTAGCCTATAATCCCAGCACTTGGGAGGCTGAGGCAGGAGGATCACAAGTTTGAGGCCAGTCTGGGCTACATAGTGAGAAAAAGGAAATTAGCATCCCAGAGGAATGTCAGGAAAAGTACAAATAAGAAACAAGAGGCCCACTTTGCCACGGTGGGTAGTGGGCGAGGCAAGCCTGGGCTGCAGCTCTGACTATTTAACAAACAGCAAATCCAGCACTCACCCTGGTGCCTGGCCTGCCACACCCCCTTCCCCGGGCCACACAGCCTGCAGCCCGTGGTCTTGGTCCTGGACCCCAGCACAGGAGCCAAGGGCTGCTCCAGGCAGCAAGCAGCAGAATTAAAAAACAGGACCTCTGGCTTCCAAAGCTGAAGTGAGTCATTCGGAAGCAATGCCCACAGACACGTCAAGGAAGCCTGACACCTACAGTGCCCACTCCCAGGGTCCACCAGGGAGGGCCAAGAAGGGCCTTGGAGCAGGAGAATGCAGGGACCCCATAGGTAGAAGAGCCTCGGCACGGATGCAAAAGACAAACTTCAAGAAGCTTGGGGAGTCGGAGACATTGCGAGAAACGCATGTGGACAGCAGCTGCCCGCTGTGGCTGGGCAGAAGCCACGGCAGGTGCCACACACAGGAGGCCAGGTGATCTTATCCTGGCAGGTGGCCCACCCTTGTGATGTGTGCCCAGTCCAGAGTGACCAGCAGGAGGTCGGCTCTCTCCCCAGCCCCCGCCAGCCCAGGCCTTTCCCAGCTCTCACCGAGGCAAGAACTTGAGCTGCACCGAGTAGGACGACAGGGCCTGGATGTAGCCCGTCTCAGGCAGGAGCTCCATGTGGCCTCTCAGCTCCTTGCAGACCTCAAATTTCAGGCGTAGGGCCGCCTTCGCTCTGCGGGCGGATCACGGGCACCGGGTCAGGTGATTGCCAGGGCCTGTGTGTGCTTTATCCCTTGAGTCATTAAGGTACGTCTGATGACTGAGTCAGCCACAGCACTCAGTGCACACCAACTCCACACCAAGCACCCGGATGGTTAAGAGCATCTTCAAAGCCTGCTTCCTACGAAATCTGAGAAATTCTTGAAAGTAAAAATACATTGCAGCTGAACTCGGGCCCAAATCAGTTCTCAGAGGCCCCAGTGTTTTCTGGGAAGAACTCCAGCCAGGCATCTGTGGGTGCAGGGCCTGGAGGGAGTATGAGGGCTGGTTACCTTCCTTTGGGGTTCTGTCCCGGGGCTCTGTACAGGGCACCCAGGAAGCCTTGGATGTCCGGGCCTTGCTAATCACCCAAGCTCCTAACTCAGAAGCAGCCAGAGGAAGCCAGGCGTGCCTCTAGCCAGTCACCTGGAGTTCTTTGCAGGCCACACCTCACCAGCGCCCACCTGGGCCTTCCTGTGACCACCATGAAGCTCTTTCATGGCCCTGCCTGCCTTGAGGTCTCTGCTGAAGGCAGTGACAGTGGCCGAGCCCTTGCTAAGGCAGCTCTGGGTGACACCCTCTGCTTGCTCCCTGTGAGTGTCTCCTTTAGTTTCTATGGGGGAACCATCTCAGCCCAAGAAGGAAAAGGCAGCCTAAAGAGGGAGGCTCTCGTGTCTGCCTGGGAATCTCAGGTAAAGGCTCCAGAGCCTTCTAAGCCTCCAGGCACCTCTTCAGAATTTTTTTTTTTTCCTGGCGATACAGGGGTTTGAGCTCAGAGGCAGGCGCTCTACCACTCGAGCCGCACCTCCAGCCCTCCAACACCTCTTCAGAATGCTCTGCATGATTCTTGTCTGGCCACTCAGGGTCTGCTGCCTGGTGTTTCTCAGACATGGCCCTGAGGGCTGGGTCCACAGTGATCCAGAGGTGCAGGTGGCAAGGCCAGGTCACAGACACTGAGCGAAGCGGTGACTCTCCAGGGAGCCACAGCTGGGCTGACCCCTGGGCAGTACACAAGTGAGGATCAAGAGGAACGGGCCTGTCTTTTCTCTCTTGCCTTTTGGAAGGCTACCAGAGCTGAGGTGGCCTCCAGAGCCGAGGTGACCTCAGCTTTATCCCTTCTAAGCCCCAGAGACAAGCCCTGCAATGCGTGTCCTGCTCTCCTGCTGCTTGAGACTGTGGCAGCCAGCCGGCTCCACTGCTTCTCCACACTGGCCAGTGCTGGTTCTTGGACACAAACAGGAAGGGGTCTTCATGAATTACCCACCTACACCAGCTAGGTAAAACCTACCACATTAAACAAAGCTACAAATCACTGATACTGGATTAAAAAATCACCAAACAAACGTGTCCTTTGGGGAGGGGTCGATACAGTGACACTTCCCCGGATCCCTCTTGCCTTCTGCGCCACACGACCAAGAGGCAGTTTGCATCCTGCAGGGACCCTGTTCAACCCGGTCCCCCAAATAGCCCTCCCTTCCACACCCTTCTCCCTCATGGAGACAGCTGCCCCTTCACGGAGCTGGGCTGGAGGTCCTGGCGTTCCTTGGCTTCATCTTCAATCTGACTCTGTCCCTGACCCGCCCCATGGCAGTGCCTGAATGACACCTGGCTCACCTCCCTCCCCTTTGTCACCCAGGTGCCCATTCACAGTGCCGTGCTCCTGCTGGCCAGCAGGGGGCTCACCGCGTGAGGACGAGGATGGAGTCTTGGTACAGCCGGTCGTAGGTGCAGATCTTCAGGTCCACGTTGGGTCTTGGCACCCAGACGGGGACATCAACGGCCACGCCAATGGCTCTGAAATACAGCTGAATTTGGACAGGTGAACTCAACGGCGTGTGCTTCCTTTGCATTGCAGGCCGTGCCCGAGTATTAACACAGCCCAGCAGTTTCGTGGCTTGACTTTTGTAACTTGCCTCACAAGTACTGGAAGAGCAATGACTAAACAAGCCATGTTCCAAGTTCTGTGGCACTTTTCATGTCATTGTCATTAAAAATTCTTTTTATGCTCAAAAAATGTAAAAATTAACCTGAATACAGCTGGTGTGGTGACCCTGCCTGTAATCCCAGGTGCTCAGGAAGGCAGAGATAGGGAGGATCTCAGTTCAAGGCCAGCCTGGGCAAAAAGTTAGTGACATTCCGTCTCAACAAAAGGCTTCATGCCTGTAATCTCAGCTATTCAGGGGCATGAGTAGGAGCAGCGTGGTTCTACACTGGCCTGGGCAAAAGCAAGAGACGCTGTCTGAAAAATAACTTAAAGCAGAGGGAGCTGGAGGAGTGACTCAAGTGGTAGCTTCTTGCCTTGCAAGCACAAGGCCCTGAGTCAAAACCCCAGTACTGCCCCCCCAAATACAATGCCAAATCACCATGTACCCATCATTCAACTTCATAATTATCATTACTCTTAGTTGCTTAAAATCTCTGGGCTGGGGGAGTGCAGTGCTTACTTAGCACATGCAAGGCCCAGAACCAAAATCCCAAAACACTCCCTCCCCAACTTTTTATTACACACACCGCATTACACAGAAACTGTGTGCACACATGCGTGACACTTTCACAGCTAACGAGGAACTGGGAGCTCAGAACTCTTGCAGGGACCTGAGAAGGGGCCTTTGTCCCCCCTCACCCCTACCCCATCTGCTGCTTTCTCCACACACTCTGACGCCTTGGGTCTGGGGAGGCTGGGCGAGATGAGTGGAGGTCTTGGGATTTGTGAATGGCCTACAGGGAGAACCAGCACAGCAAGCCCCAGAACTGGGGAGGCCTGGCCACCCCAGGGTGGAGCCGCCTGGGTAGGAGGCACTGTTGTGGGCTACAGGCCCAGTGGAGGCTTCAAACATCTGCATAGATTGCCAGGACTCTCAGCCTGGGGCAGGTGACCGCCCTTTCTAGAACACCCGTCCATGGGGGTGGGTGGGGTCATTGAGATGGGGTTGGGGCTGATGCTTCTTTTCCCACAACCTGCAGGACTTGGGCCACTTAAAACGCCCTGCCACCAGGTCTGAGGCCACAGGGTTGTCAAAAAATGCAACCCATTGTGGGGCCAGAGACAAAAAGGTCAGACAGAAACAGAAAACATTCCTGTGGCACAGACCTGCTGGAGAGTCAGGAGGACAATGATGACACCAAGAGTGTGACAAGCCATGAGGCTCCCACATGAGCTGAGGTGCTCAAGTATCAAGGTACAAGCCCATTGCAGTGGGGAGACAGGGACTGTGAGGGTGAAGAAGGCTCAGATCTGGAGGACAGGCCTGGGTGACAAAGGAGGGAAGTCCTGGGGTGTCGCGAGGTAGAGGACTGGCCTTGGAAGCCGAAGGCCACAGGTGGTCAGGTAGGATGGATTCTGAGGGCTCATCTGGTGAGTGCCCCATTCAAGCACCTGCTGCGTCCCTGAGGGACGGGCAGCATCTCAACCCCTGTGGCCAGGGGATGGGGATGCAGGACAGGCCTCACTGCTGTCAGGGCTGGGAGGGGTCTGCAGGGCCTGTGATGGAAGAGTGGGCAGCATGGGAGGCTGACTGCGTGAACTCCATGTAGGGGGAGTTGGAGGGAGGAAAGAGGGCAGGGTCAGGATTTAATCTCCAGGATCGCCCTGCAGGATCACTTTCCTTCACAAGGTCTCTGCCTGCCACACGATGCCAGGAAGCCACTCAGCTCACAGTTCTGGCCCTTCCTCTATCATGACACCTTAGCTGGCCGCCAGAGATGCTCTGTGACAGTACTGCGGGCCCTTGGAGTCAGCGGGAGCTGTGGGAAGTGCAGGTAGTGTGGAAATCGTGGGCACTCTGGGAACCGGGGTTCAGTAGTAACTATGGGAACCATGGATCCTATGGGTACCATGGGAACCGTGGGGACCATGGGAACTGTGGGCGCCGTGGGAACTGTGGGTGCCGTGGAAACCACTGGTACCATAGGAACTACGGGGACCACGGGAACCGTGGTGGCGGTGGGTCTAGGGGCGGTGTGGGCTCCTGGGCACCGTGCATGTGGACACTGGACAACGCGGCTCTTGCGGGTTACTGTGGGGCACTGCTGGCCTCAGGGATACTGTGAGGCTTGCCGTTGCCATGTAGTCGGGGTTATGGGTCCTAGGAGGTGGTCTGGTCCTTTGACGCTCCTGTTGTAAACTATTCCTGTCTCTCCTTGCTGCGAGCAGTCCCTTTTTGGTGGGAGGGCACTGAGGCTGAACTCAGGGATCTGCACTCGAGCTGCTCCACCAGCCCTTTTCGCTTTGGTTATTTCTGAGATGGCGTCTTGCTTTATGTCCAAGGCTGGCCTGGACTGAGAGCCTCCTGATAGCCGCCTCCCAAGTGGCTGGGATTACAGGCGTGAGCCACTGTGCCTAGTCTTAAAGCAGCTCTGTATGCTGCGCCCTTTCTGTCCACCCGGAGTGATTCAAGGAAACGCACCCGCACAGAGTTCCTGATGGACGGTGGAGAGTGAGGGCCCCGAGCACAGAACACCCCATGGTGGGATCGGATGGTGCCTGCCTCACACGTGGGTATGGACAAGCACTCTCGCAGCAGCGCAGGGCAGTCGAGGACATTTTGACAGCCAGCCTAGGTCCTGAGGACACGGACTGCCTAACGGTACCCACAGTTATCTCAGGAAATCAGGGCGTGCTGGGGTGTGTTTCTGGGAGGATTCTCTCCTTCCACGTGAGAAACAGAAAGCAGGTGGAGGGGTCGGGAGGGAAACAGGTGTCCAGGTAGCAGAGGGGAAAGCAGGACAGGTGGTGACTCGATCAAACCGAGGGCCGGGAGAAGGCGCTGTAAAGTAAATAGCAGACACACTAAGGGATGACACAAAGGGCAACAGTTATTCACCCGCGTGAGCACAGGAGATTCTCACAAGAAAGAAAATAGTAGTCTTGCTTAACAGACAAAACCTGGCCCCTGAAGAGAGCCTGAAAGTTGTTATTTTTAAGTGACTATTAGCCAGGCGTGGAAGTGGGGGGGCACATTTATAATTCCAGCACCTGGGAGGTTGAGGCCAGAGGATCTCCAGTTTGAGGCCAGTGTCTCGAGAAAGATGGTATACGTTATACGTATATATGACTTTGAGGGTGAAGGGTGGCTGGTTCTGATAAAAGGCACAACTCACAACAAGGAACCAGGCGTAAAAGCTCAGGCACCAACAAGTAAAGCAGCTCCCTGAAGCTGCTTTGTTCTAGAAACACAAAACGTAATCACAAGGGAACACAGACATCCTGGAAGGAACAGGTGGGGACCGATCCCCTCAGCAAGCTCGCATGCAGCCGTCACACAAAGATGCTTTCTTCACGTTCACTTCACCACATTGATAAAATAAATCTTGTCTCCGGTCACAAAGAAAAATTTAACAGGAAAAAAGTTTATAGGTCTTATTCTCTGATCATAATTTAATACTTACCAATAAATAATAAAAAGCCGTACAAATTTAAGGACTCAGAAATTAAGAAAGACATTTCTGGCGATGAAGAGCAAGGGCTGGGGGGCTGGGGGGCTGGTGGTGTAGCTCAATGGTGGCATGCTCCAGCATGAGAAAGGCCCTGGGTTCAATCAGCGGCATTGAAAAAAAAAAAGGTGTGGGGAGAGCAAGAGCCCTGTGTCACGTGCAGAGGCGCACACGTGCGCACGAGTGCATAAACTCACACGTGTGAGCCTCTGTGTGTGTATGTGCACTGACTAAGGCACCACCCCTCTGTGCCACCAACTAGTCACTTGAGCTTGGTTAAACGCCAACCTAGGGCAGCTGCCCGACAAGGCCGTGGGTGGGAGGGGGACCAAGTGCACCAAGAAGCATCAGGGACACTCACTGTTGGGCACTGTGGATTCCTAAACATGACCTTGAACTTGGTCTGGACTGCTCCCGGGATCACTGGAGAGAAGATGATGTGTACTTTGATGGAGCTGAAGGGGCCAATTTCCCCCTCTGTCATCTGCGTAGGAGGAGGGGGACCCTGGGTCAGCAGGTGTCACGGTTTTTATTAGGGTACCTCCTACCAACCCTCACAATAGCCATGTCACTGCAAGGATGGGTGGTGGGTGGTTATCTGGTCACACGCAAGCACTAGTTCCAAGCCTGGCCCTGCCTCGAGGGCTTACTGCACGGAGTCCCAGTCAAGAGGGAGTCTGAACCCCTCTCCACAGTCTCCCTTCTAGCACACACCGTGCTCCAGTTGGGGGAGGGGGGCACTGCCAAGCTGGACCAGGTGCCCTGCATCCAGGAAACTGGCCCTGTTGCTCTGGTCCTGCCCAGCTCCAGAGAGGGAAGGGGCTTCCCTTGATGCTGGCTGAGACCACCAGGTGCCCAGAGGCTGCAGGTCCAGCCTGGCTCTGGTCAGATGCAAGGGCCACCTGAGGGCAGGAGTCATTGGATCAGGAAGGCGTGAGTGACTGGGCCTGCACGGGTGAGGGTTGCCTCCTGGCTGGGGCACTCAAGGTTTCAGTATGGCGGGTGGACTGACCTTCCCCAGGGTGACCTCTCCCTGCTGGTCGCTGGAAGGCAGTGCCATGTTGCTGGTCATGGGTATCGCCTCTGCTTCTGGAAGACAAATCGGACGGCAGAAACAAATTCAAGTGCACCAAAAATGTGGAAAAAGTCAAAGGTTGTCAGAGTGCATTAACAGGCAACCTGGGACGATGGACGTCCACCACTGCACCCGGCCATTGGTTGAGGTGGGGGGTGGGGGGGGTGAATCTTGCAAATTTATTTGCCTGGGTTGGCCTCAAACTGCAATCCTTCTGATCTCAGCCTCCTAAGTAGCTAGGATTACAGGTGTGAGCCACTGGTGTCTGGCTCATGCTAGGCTTTTTGGGGGTAAAAATCAAGAAGCTGATTCTAAAATGTCTATGGAAATGCAATGAACCAATCTACCTAAAGAAACTATCTTGAAAAAGAGAACAAAGTTGGGTGATATACATTTTCCAGCTTCGAGACTTACTCTAAGGCTACAATAACCAGGACGCATAAGTGTGGACAAATGAATGGACTGATCAGAACAGACAGCCCAGCAACACACCCATGCTCACACAGTCAGTTGGTTATTGGCTCAGAGAAGGTTATCAATCAAAGGGGAAAACCGATAACATTTCAATGCACATCTCAGGAACAAGTGGATATCCACACAGAGAGACTGAGTCTTGCAGGATGCTGGGGGCTCATGCCTGTAATCCTAGCTACTTGGGAGGCTGAGATTGGGAGGATTGTGGTTTGAGGCCAGCCCTTGAAAATAGTTGGTAAGACTTTATCTCCAAAATAACCAGTCTTGGTTCTCCCCAGCATCACCTGGGCCCCAGATCCCCCAGTCCCTGGCTGAGACACTGGGGCTCTGCTTCCTCTGTGGGAGGGTCTAAGCTCAAACTGTGGATCTCAGAGTGGCTCCCAGTTTGCTGTTCCTCAGAGGCCCTCCTGCCCACACCAGACCTCCTCTCTAACTGTCCAGTCTCTGTGGGTGCCAAGTGCCCCAGCTGTCTCAGGAACCAAGGCAGGAAGGAGCTTGGGCTAAATACCCACCACCCGTCCACAGGCCTCCCTGTCCCTCACCTTCCTGCTGTTTGTCCGACTCCTTCCGGCTCTGGACATCCAGCAAGGACTCATTGCCCTCAAACGGAGGCTCAGAGAAACTGGCAAGGACCTTGTCATAGACACTTTTATCATCAGAGGTGAACAGGCTGCTCTGGAAGGGAACACAACGTCTCTACCACCCTCTTACCAGACACTCTTGTGGTCGGGAGGGCTTAGGTGAGGACACGACTGTGTCTGGGCTGGGGGCTGCTGGTCCCCACATGTCTCCTTGGTTGTCCATGACTCATTCTGTCTATCCTGAATTTTGGGACCACAGCAGCAGCTTGCCTAGGGTGTGAGGCTGACCCTTTGCCTCCTATATGGGGACAGAGTTGCTCCTCCTTGTCCCCGGCACAGGAGCTCCATCTTAGACTCCACCCATGAGCTGCTGAGTCGGGTCCCCTTTCTGCCTTGCCCTGGGCAACTTGTCCCCTACCTGCCCAGAGCAGGCCCTTCCCACAGGCCCCCATCTATCTGTCCCCCCCTCCTGCCATAGCAGCCTTTGCCCCCCCATACTGCCGTGGCCACAGCCACTTGTGGTCCTGTCCTCCCCTGGCTGAGACCCTGTTGGGGGCCTTTGCTGGGATCCCCGGACATGGCCAACAGAACCGTGGGGCAGAGTTTCTTGTAAGAATGCTTGAGTTCTTCAGGAGTGCGTGAGAAAAGGTAAGGTTCCCTTTGCACCCCCCGAAATGACCTCTCAATGATGCACTGGGGGGTGACAGCCATTTTCCTCAGTGGGACCCCCAGGATTCCCCGAGGCTGTCAACATTCACCCATGGCCCCTGCACACCTTCCTGGGAAAGACGCAGGCCCCTGTCTGCTTTGGGAGCTGGTGCAGTGAGGTCATGAGGCTTCCCGTGGACCCTGCCCTCCAGGGACACCTAGGGAGGTCCCCTGGTGCTGCTCGTTGTCACATGCAGGGACACGGCATCCTGCGGCCATTGTAGGATGCGAGATGCCCCTCTCCTCACCTTTCCTAGACCTGCTGCTGACAACTCCTCTCAATGCCCGTCTTTACAGTCTGTGGGGCCGTGTTCAGGGAGGGGAGAGACCCAGTGCCCTGCTCTTGCCTGAGCAGAACCACAGGGACCCGTGGTCGCCACAGCTGCTGGTCAGGAGCCAGCAGCAGCACACTCACTGTTTTCGGGACGGGCTCGTAGTCCTCCATCTCACAGGACTCAGACGCCAGAAGAAATTTGAACGTCGTGCCCAGGCCCCCAGTGTTGGTCAGAGTGATGGTCTGAGATGTGGTTTCACCCACTGTGTAGCTGCCAAAGTTGATGAGCTCCTTGTCAAGAGACAGCTGTCAAAGGACACCAGTAAGCCAGTGTGGCTGCTCCAGGCCACAGGGTGCTCAGGAGGAGCACGGGGTCCTTACCACGCCTCGGCCCAGGGAATCCAGTGCCCCCGAGGCAAGGGCTCTTTTCCTTCTTGTCAAGGGGCCACAGGAGCCTGGTTCTCCCTCCCCCTCATGGGGAGCCTGTGTCCAGCTCCATGTAGGATGGATAGGGCTGGAATGAGCACTTGTGCAAGTCCTTTACTGCACACCCAGGGACACAACCCTCCCCAGAAGTCGTAGATTCCTGAAGTGATCAGGACAATTTAGGGTGTCTGAGTCTATTTTTTTTTTTTTTTTTGGTGGTACTGGGGTTTGAACTCAGAGCCTTCACCTTGAGCCACTCCACCAACCCTTTTTTTGAAGGGTTTTTTCGAGATAAGGTCTTTCAGAACTATTTGCCTGGGCTGGCTTTGAACCACGATCCTCCTGACCTCTGCCTCCTGAGTAGCTAGGATTACAAGTGGGAGCCACTGGTGCCCGCCTGAGTCCAGTTTTAAGAAAGTCAAGCTAAGCCGGTGCCAGTGGCTCACGCTTCTAATCCTAGCTACTCAGGAGGCAGAGTTCAGGAGGATCGTGGTTCAAAGCCTCAAGATGTAGGACCTGAGTTCAAACCCCAGGACCACAAAAAAAAAAAAAAAGGTGGTAGTGTGACGATACGGGTTGTGGTGGCGGGTATACAGAGATTCATTTTACCATTCTTTCTGCTTTTCATTATGTTTCAACATTGTCTTAGTTCAAACACCACAGAGCTGCAGAAAGGACTGGGGTCTCCTCAGATGGTCCTAAGGTTTCCTCTGACCCACGGACCCTGAGTCTGGTCCCCACACAGGGCAGGATTAGTCTAGGATTTTCCAGCTCTCTTCTTTGCAGAACACCTCACCTTTTCCACCCAAGGCCCAGGTTGGGCCTGTCCTCAGCTGCCACTAGACCAAGGCCTGTGGTGGAACTCAGGCCCCGTGCCCCTCGGCACCCACACTCCAGGGGTACAGTCCTCTGGAGCCATGGAGAAGTGCCAGCACACAGCTTCAAACTTACGGAACATTTTTTTGTCGAACATTTCAGTGGAATGGCAAATCCGCCTGTCTGTGCCAAGAATGAAACATTTCCTTCCAGGTCTTTATTTATCTAAAAAATAAAACAACCCTGACTGCCATAAACATCTGCAATGCCCAGTTAAGGAGCCTGGGCCTGCCTGCCACCCGCCATGTGGGTCCCAGGGAAGGAGTTCCCAGAATGCATCTCAAGAGGGGCCTCACGTGAGCAGGGTCTGTGGAAACAGGTTCCACACCACACTGAGCCCCAAGTGCATGAGAGCACGAGGTGCCACACCCGCTGGCTAGTGAACTAGACAGCCACCTTGTAATGCCGCCTAGCATGTCAGGATGAGGCTGAACATTTTTGGATGAAACAGCAAAAACAGGGGCCCTGTGACTTACCATGGGCTTGAAGGTGACCAGCACTTCGCAGGACATTCCGGCTGACATGCGGCCTGGGGGGTCAAAGCTGTCAGCAGAACCATCCACAGAACAATGGTGGTCAGGTCACTATGGAAGGTGGGTGCTCGCCGCACCTCTCACAGGGCCCTTGGATTCCTGCCCTCCCATCTGCTCAGATGCCCTGGCCAACGAGCAGCTCTGGGTCTGCTGGTTTCTCTGCTGACCCCAGTCCTCAGTGGACAGGACATACTAAAGTGACCTTTGAATGTCTGTCCAGTGAGTGAGCAGTGAGCGAGTGAGGCAAGGTCCTGGGGGCCAACTCCCGAGGGATGAGAGCTGTGGAGTCAGTGGGACTGGCTCCCCCAGGGACATGCACCAGGCCTGGGACCAAAGATGCTGGGTTTTAATACCAAAGTGGAGGCTGGTGGCATGGCTCAAGTGGTAGAGTGCTTGCCTAGCAATCTGAAGGTCCTGAGTTCAAAATCCAGTACTGCCAGAAACCCCCCCTCAAAATAGAAACAACTTGGGGAGATGGGCGGTGGGCCCCAGTCACCCAGAAAAAGCCCCAGCTTCAGAGAGGGGAGCTGGGAGTTAGTCTGTCTTGGCTAACTGGATTCTGGGTGAGATGAAGAGTCTCTCCACAGAAGTCCTATTGTGAACACCAGGTCTATGTTCACAAAGTTGGGTTCTTACCTAATTTGCTTAGTTTGGAAATGAACAAGATAAAATTTCTTTTCTTGATGCCAGACTACAACACAGAACCCCCAGGAAGCAGTCCCAAGGTGAGAGCGTCGGAATCCAAGATCTTTCACAAAAGCACGGGACACGAGAACCGAGCCAGCAAAGAGCAGGGCCCAGCTCCAGGAATGGCAAGAACTATGAAGCGGAGCTTTTAAAAGATGTGTAATTAAAATGGTTAAAGACATAAATAGAGAATCGCAGACATGAGAAGAAGAAGACGCTGTTAAGAAATGCCAGCTCATCTGAAACGGAACTTGGAGAGCTTAGAAATGAGAAACACAGCACCGAGACGAGACGCACAGTCAGCAACTCCAACAGCTGGTCAGACACAGCTGAACACGGGAGCTGGCGACACTGCACGCTGCCCGAGGAGCAGGATGGAGTGTGAACACCGGGGCATCGGGGTGACGGGAAGATTTCCCTGGAAGGAGCAGGGGCTTGGGGAGAGGCCTGGCCTTCAGCTCCAAGAGGCATAATAAGAGCAAGACAAATCAACCAGCTGGACGGGCAGCAGGACCCTAAGGAGGACAGGTTGAAAGCGGCTGGGCAGAAATCGGGGAGCCTATGAGGGAATCATGACCATGGCAGCAGCAGAAACCAGGAGGCAGGAACGAGAAATTCCCTCCAGGTCCCGAGAGAAATTCGAATCCAGCCTGGGGAGGAGGGATGGGGTAGCTGAGGTAACAGAGACCACCAACCTGGCCCTGTATACACCCCCAGGAAGACGGCGGGCGAAGAGCACACGGGTCAGCATGACCAGAAGGGAGGAAGCGGACATCAGCTTCCAGAGCACTCCTCAGGCAAGCCTTGAGGGCAGCTCAATTCTGGAAAATTGTAGGGAAAGGGAAAGAAAGGTCCTATGACCAACTTCCACTCGGCACCCAAGAGGACAGACAGACAGTCCTCTTGCACTGAGAGCACCGAGAGCCCCAGGCCAGCGCTGTGGGCTGCACCCACAGGAGCAGCCTTGGGAGGCCATGCTGGCGGGGGCGGGGGGAGAAAGTCGCCCCTGGAGCCTGAGCAGAGAGGGTGGGTTAGCGTCCTGCCCAAGCGGACCGTGCTAAGAGACACGAAAAAGTCATCCTGGGCCTCCAAAGCTGTCTGTGAGCCAGGCACGGCACTCAGGAGGCTGAGGCAGAAGGATCCAAGTTCAAGGATAGCCTGGGCTACATAGCAAGACCCTGACTGAGGAAAAACAACAAGAAAATCCAAGGCCAGTGCTGAGGAACAGGAGCCGAGAGAAGCACCACAGAAAACACAGCAAAGGGGGCAAAATAAAATGGAAAAGCAGAAAACGACAGACTCGAAGGGCTGTCAAGGAACGCCCAAAACCCGCCAAAGCAGAGTCTCCACGGAGGAAAATAACCCAGAGGCTGACTTTGTCGCAGTGACCGGCGTGCCAGCTGCCTCTCACCAACGTGAGAGCGAGAGGGAGGTTGGGCAGCTGGGCCGTGCGCGTGCACGGAGGGGGACAGGGCTGGGCTCAATGACCTCAACCTGAGGGGGTGGAGGAGCCACCTCCCAAAACTCCACGGAAAGTGGACCCCAGGGCTTCCGCCCAAACTCTGCAGTCTGAGCCTCACTCGATGTGGATGAAGTCTCGCAGGTCCTCGTCCACGCCCACCAGCTTGCAGTAGTTAATGGTGTAGGTGGCGTTGATCAACGTGACCTTCTTCTTGTACACCTTGCCAACGTCAAAGTCCTGGAGAAGTTGGAGGAGACGCCACGAGCCCAGGCCCCGGGCAGCAGCCTCAGAGCAGGTCAGGGGAGCTGTGGCAGTGGCCTTCCTGCCACTTTTCCTCCGGGTGCTGCTTGGGACCTTGCACTGACTAGGGAGAGGTCCCCAGGGAGGGTTCCCCTGAATTGAGGAGGGCCCCCCAGGGTTCACAAAGGGCGTGCTGAGGAGTCTGTCTTGTTAAGAACTTTGTCACCCACAGCAGGGGCATCCTGGGGTCCAGCGGGGTAGGAGAAAGAACGGAAGTGCAGGTGGCCGGTCTCAGCCTCACCCTGCCCCTCTGCGCCCGGTGACCTTGGCCGGCAAGTCAGTGGGGTTGGACTCCCTGGGGCTGCCTCATATGATGCTGGGATCTGCCCGGGTAGAAGGGGCCTCGCAGGCAACTACCCAGTCACACCTTCGTTGACTGTGGGGCAGGCTCACCTTGAAGTGGATGAGCTCGGGCTTGCTGTTGAAGGGGCGGCCTTTGAACTCCCGCCCGGACACCACCTGCTTGTGGACCACCCCGCTGCGCAGCTGCTCCACGGTGCGGGCCAGGATGTCCTTATCCATTTTGGTCCCGCCCACGGGCTTTCGGTCCACCTCCTCCTTGGGCACCTTAGGTTCACAAAGACAAAGGTCCATGCTGGTTCAAGGCCGAGCCTGTGGGCACCAGCAGAGCAGGGAAGGACTCCAGGAGTTACTTCAAGGGGCCCCAGCTTCATCCTGGCCCACGGACCTGGCAGGGTCCCGTGTTTCAGAGAAAGAAAAATGAAAGGAAAAGGAAATACCCAGGACTCAGGCAGACTTCTGGGAAGGAATGGCCCAGGGGAAATGTTCTGGATCGTTGGGTCAGGACAAGAGAAGGTTTCTGAAAAGTTCTGCAGGAAGCACTTTTCTCGAGTGGCCGTAGGAGTGAGAACTGCTCTCGGCCAGATGCACGGCCACTCTGTGAGCTGACGCTAGCAGCTGGAAAAGTTATACTTCAAGACAGACCCGAGATTCTCTTTCTGACCCTGGCTGCCCATACCTGGTCACCAGGTGGTCTTCCCCTGGCTCTCTGGGGTGGAAAGTGCCTGGTGCCTGACTGTGCCCACCACCTCCCTCCCTCCTGGTTGAGTGGAATGGTCAGCCTGGCCTGTCTTGTCTGCTGCTTCTTCTGAACCAGCAGAATTAAATAGATTTGCCTAGCAGCGATGGAAACCCACAAAGCAGAGGGGAATGAGCTGGGGGACAGACCCACAGCTGGTGCCTCTCCTCAGCAATCCAAAGGAGCAAGTGCTCTGGATGGGATGCATTTCTTGAAAAGGGCTGTTGAAGGAAGTTTGAGCTCATGCCTTTTTCTAGGAATGTCTCCCTGATAATAAGCAGACTGACGCAGGACAACCTTCGGGCCCTTCTGTCCTTAGCCACCCACAGCAGTGTGTGGTGTCATTGACCACTGAAGCCCCGGTGACGGGAAGGGGGGTTTTGGATCAACAGGAACAGGCCAGATACCTGGGGGCTCTGGGAAGGAGAGTGGGGCCTGGGGTTTGGAGGAAGGAGATGGTTGGGCAGTGGCTGAGTAGGGAGGCACAGCAAGGAAGGGCACAGACCAGGTGTGGCAAGGACCTGACAGAGGAAAGCTGTCACCTGGTACTGCTTGTAGTCTTCACTCCAAAGCCCGGGGATCTCTGGCTCAGCCAGCGTTTCCTCCTCTGCATTGGCCCCCAGGTCGGCCTGCACGGACTCGCTGGAGAGGGCTGTCAGGAGCCAAGAGGGCTCGGGGCGTGCTGTGGCTCCATACTCCTGTGGGCAGAAGAGAGATGAGCAAGACGTGGTCATTGTGGACGTGGTGAAGGCGCAGATGGGCAGGAAGAGATGAAAGCCCACTCGGCCTCTGACGGCTCACATCATTCTTCCTGTTCTTCTGCTCTTTACAGAGAGGATGGCACACAGAGCTTTGTAACTTTTCCACTTAGAATTTAACACGTCTGTCTGTACCCTCCCAAACGCTGTGCTACAATGCTCAGCTCTTTTTTTTTTTTTTTTGGTGGGACTGGGGTTTGAACTCATGGCTTTGTGCTTATAAAGCAGTCTCAGATATTTCTGTTGATAGGAAATCATTCTGATGGGTGGATGTGCTGTGATCCCCCCCACCCCCTCCTCTGGTGTATACTACCTCAAATTCCCACTGATAACCCCCAGGCCTGGCAGAACCCCATGTGAACCCCAGGAGGGGTTCCTAGAACTGACTGGGGGCTCAGACCTCATCTGAATGCTTGGGCTCTGTGCCAGGCCTGCAGTGGGCACCATGGCCTGGAGGACAGAGGATGGGACCTGCTCCTAGCAGAAGGGGCTGAGGCTGCAGTGCAGAAATGTGGGGTGACCTTCTGGGGGCGTACTCCCTAAGGGAGGGAAGGTGTGAAGGAAGGGCCAGGAACATGGGTTTTGAGGGGCGAGGCTGAGGGGAGCGACTCACAGACACACAGGGAGCCTGGAACAGACAGACCTAAAATTCCTGAAACAGGAAAAGGCCTTCTATGGTACACTAGATGCACAGGAAGACCCCACAAAGGGCTGTACCAGGCAGACTGGGGCAGTGGCTGATGTAGGGAACTGGACTCAGGAGGGGCCATCCCTGCCCACACCCTCAGGGAAAGATGAACTAGAAGTAAATCCCCAGCCCGGGGTGTCGCCTACACAGGCCCTATAGAGCAGGCCCTTGGTATGAGTGAGACCAGGGTGAAAGGAGGTATGAGGGACTCCTGGTAGCAGTGATGGCTTGCTGTGGACTCAGTGGCACACAGGCCCCACACAGGGCTGACCCTACTCTGTACCTCGGAACAGGTGAGGGCTTGTCCCAATCCTATAGAGAAGTCACTCCGCTAAGGCTGAGAGCTCTGAGCACGGCCTCCTTCACACTGGGCTTGGGGCTCATCCCACCTGCACCCGCAGGTAGCGCCTTGCTTGCCTGTGTGTAAGTGGAGACGTTTGTCTTCCCCTCACAAAAGTCGGAGATGTAACTCCAAGTCTTGTCTCTCAGAGTCTTTCGGTTAGTGGTTTTGGCAGGTGATGGATGCTGTTTCTTCTTCCGGTTTTCTTCCTCGGCTTCTTCTTTCAAAATCTTACTCACAATCTCCTGCCTCCGGAGTTTTTGCTCTTCCTCGAAGGCCCTGGGGGAAGGAGCCACATATCACTTCTTGGCACCCACAGGCTGGTGCCTGGATGGCCACTAGCTTGTTCAACCTTCTCTGGCCCCTGTCCAGGAGCTCAGGTTCAGCCTAGTGGTGCTCTGAGGCAGGAACATTTGGTCTTGGGTGAACCCTGGCCCCCAGGTAGAGCAAGACACATGACCCCTAGCAGGGCTGCCAGGCCAGAGACGTTAGACTCCAACTCCAACCCTGCCTTGTCCAGTTCTTCTCTGCCTGGCCTGGCCCAATCTACCCATCACTCACTCACTCACTCACTCACCCAGCCAATAGCCCACACACCTGCTCGCTAACTCACTCATTCACTCATACACTTGTTCACTCACTTTTTCACTCAACACTCTTACTCACACACTCACTCACTCGCATACTCACTCATGTACCCCAGTGACTTTTCACTGGGCACTGCCAGGCCTGCCCAGACACAATGTGGACAGCCAGACAGGCAGCAGCAAAACCCTGGTGGTGACTGCAGGTGCGCAGCGGTATTGCACTCACAGCTATGACAGCCAGAGAAGGACGATGTCCCTGGTGAAAGGATCACATGCTCCCCACCACACAGACTCTTCAGTGACCAGTAGGGGTCCAGGATTGGGGAGAAAAAAGCTGGGCCCTCCAGGATGAGGACAGCTTCAGGCAGAGGCACCAAGAGGGTGGGCTAAATGGAAATTACTGGAGCATCGCGTGCAAGGTACAAGGACAGACAGGAGGCGGCCTCTTTGGAAACACACCCACATGGAGGGGGTGGAGGAGGCAGCAGTGGGCACTGATCTGGGGAGACCAGACAATGAAGCCAGAAGGCAATGTGTGAAGGACAAGCCCTGGGCAGCACCCAAGGAGGAGAGGGCCACAAGGGCCCAGGAACCTGCTGCTGTCCCACCAGGAAGCCAAGTGGATTGAAATGAGGAAAGAAGTCCCCAGTCCAGGACCGTGTGCTCCTAGAGACTCCCACAGCTGGGCAGAGTGGCTCTGCAGAGGGCTGTGGTGCCAGGGGCTGGAAAGGGCACAGGGGGCAGAGGGGCAGGGCTGGCAGCAGGGCATGGAGGGAGGAGTTGGGGTGATCGGCCAGGGTGGATCTCAGTCAAGGTGAAGAAGGGGACCAGAGCAAGGTGGGGAGTACTGGAACCCTCTTTCCATATCCCACAGCAGCTTGTGGTGGGAGGCCTGGGCAATCAGCTTTGCTCATTGTGATGGTGGAGCCCCCATTCTCCCTGCACCCACTGCCTAGGCGGGGGTGCCCCCCAGTCTCCCAGCCCTCACCGTCTTTGGGCCTCCAGCTCCTGGCGCCGGCGTTGACAGGAAAGATGCTTGAATGCATCCCCGCCCTGGGCCAGGATCACCTCCTTCTCGGCTTGGGCCTTCTGCTCAGCCACAGCTGCCCTGGCCTGGCCCCAGGCCTGAAACTTCCGCAGTGTTTCCTAGGAAGAGGGAACACTGAAGCCACAGCACCAGCACACGCTCCCGTCCACATAGAGGCAGACCTGTCCTTGGAACGGGTGCCCTTAGATCAATGCCACCTCCTGGGGATCCCACTGCAGACAGTTTGCAGACAGCCAAAACGCTCCAAGGCACAGCCCTGGGGGCCCCTGGAGCCGGTGTGGGGTTGTCGGAGTGTCTGGGCGTGTGGTCCCCCCCCCACCCCCGCAGTACCTTCCCTCTAAGCCTTTAGGGCACTGTGCCTCACCAGTCCCTGAACCACCTTCCTTCCTGACCCTGGCCCCGGCCCTAGCACAAGGCCTTGTGCTCTCCTAGGCTACGTGGTGGTACTGAAGGCATGTGGTCATGTCACATTTAGAGCTATGACAGCCAGAGAAGGACGGTGTCCCCAGTGAGAGAGCCACATCACGTTCTCCTCTACCCCCAGGACCACATGAACCTCACTGGACCTGGGCAGAAAGGAAGCCTGTGATGGAGGCTCAGTGACCCTGCAGGGAGTGTCTAAGCGGGCTGGTCAGCCCTTGACGGGAGCCCTCAAGAAGCAGGGCCCGTGCCCGCCTGGATGAGGCGGGCACTGGGGCACAACCGTGCCTACCCGGTTGGCAGTGATACTGTTCTTCAGAGCCAGCACGGCGTCCATACGCCGTTTCATCTGCTCGCGGGACTCCATCTCCTCCTTCTGCTCTCGCTCTCGAATTCTGGAGAGAGGTGTACGTTTTTAGTAGGAACTCCTGCGAGTAACCTGGTGATTACAGAGAGCTGTGGCAGCCTTAGACACTGGTCACTTCCACCCAGGAAGTAATGAGCGACAACACCACAAAGGTAAATGGAGAGGCCCTGTCGCCCAGGGCCAGGCCAGGAGGACACATGGCTGAGAGTGCATTGTCTTGACCACAGGGCCTTGCTGTGTCCCATCGTCCTCTTCCAAAAACCAGTGGCAGCTCAGAACTAGAACTGCAGATCTTCTGGTTTCTGATGATTAGGGGATAACTTAATTTAAATACTGGGGAATCTCAAAATGAAATCGAGGGGCTTGCATTCTTGGATTCCTCAGAGGCATCGACAAGGAAGATTGGAGAGGGAACGCACCGTCCCAGGGAGGCCTTCAGGAACTTCACTGCAACCTTGTGGTTTTTCTGGGCATCTTCCACCAGCTTCTGGTGTCTGAGCCCCAGCTCCTTCTGCATGTGTGTGGACTTCCTGCAGCAGTACGGGGCAGAGGACAGATAGCGCAGTGTCACAGGACATCTATACTGGGACTCCTGCACTCAGTGTCCATCCTGCAAGGCTCGGGTGAGGCCAGGATTGGGGAACACTGTGAAGGGTTGACACTACAGGTGACACAGATGTTAAAGGAAGTGCTGCTGGGGGCTCCAGAGTGAGGGAGCCTCCAAAAGTGGGGTTTGGTCTGGGCTTGGCAAAGGCCTGGGAGGGGAAGAGAACAAGAGAGATTGCGTTTAAGGGAGAGAAGAGACCAGGGACCAGGAGGAAGGGTGGGGCGAGGACTCCAAGCGTCTACAGCCAGGGTTAGCCACACAGGGAGCAGTACATGTGGCAGTGAGCTGGCACAATGGGGGATGGGGTAGAGTCAGGAGGAAGCTGACTGTTGGGCGAAAGTCGGGACCCATAATGAGGGGGGTGGGGAAGCCAGGTGTGCAGCGCAAGCCTGGGGGATCCAGAGGAGAGAGACTTTCTCTAGGGCTGCGGAGGGCAGGATCCAACAGTCCTGAGACCCTAGGGGACATGTCTGGCAGGTGGCTGAGCAGGAGGCAGGGGCTGCTCCATGGCTCATGTATGGATTGCACTCCAAGGCTTAGGGTGGCAGAGCAGCCAGAGAACAGTCTGGCTGGGGAGGGAAGAGGGAGTGGAGGAAGCAGGGGTTGCTTGTTCAGGGATGCTGGTCCCTGGCGTCTGTGGGCACTTAGTACTCAGCCTGGGAGTGGCAGGGAGCCTGGACAGGGCCAGTGGGACAGATGCAGAGAGTGGCTGTGAGCTGGATCTGGGAAGCCCTGATAGGGAAGGCAGAGAACATGGCAGGAGCCAGGCTGGGACCACGGAGCAGGCATGGGTGCCACTTACCGGGCTCTCAGCAGTCGGTTCCTCTCTGCCTTTCCCAAGGCCTCCTCCTCCTTGTAGAGCTGCTGGACTGCACGCGCCTGGAGACACCTGTCCCTGGCCTCTGCTTCCTCTTGGTTATACTTCCTGACATCCTCAAACTGTCTCTTCTCCATTTCAATGTGCCACACGGTGTTCCTTGCAAACAAGGGGCCACTTGCTGTTTATGGTGGTACTGGGGTTGAAGACTCAGAGCTGGCCCTCTGTGGAGCAGCCACCCGGGGGATCTGGGGAGGCCTGGCACTAAAGTGTGACAAATATTCCAGGTGGATGATGGACGCTACCACCAACAGGTCAGCTCCCTCCTCCAAGGGCCCCCTTGGCCTAACAAATTGGAGACAAAAGTCCCGCTGCCTCGCCTCCAACCTTAGGAAGATCACAGTCACAGCAACTCCAGCCTGGGCTACAGTCTGGCCCTACACTTCCTATGTGCCCTTGGGCACTCACTGGGCTGAGCACTGGGTCAGCTAGCCATGGTGGGCGTTTGGGAGGGTGGCTGTGACTATCTTCTGCAGGGCTGGAGAACCCCTGGAGCTACCAGTGTTACCAATGCCAACAATGCCATCCCCGAGTCTTCAAATGCCAGGGGGTGGGGTTCACCAGCCCTGCCCAGGGCTAAGGCTGGTCCTTGGCTGGACAACAAGGGACCTGGCTAACCTCTGGTCTTGGGTGAATCTGTCATTGACTGTCGAGAGCACAGCACCCCTTGAGCTCCCTGAACAACTCAGGGATGTTTCTGGCTTATCTTTTTCTTTTTTTGGTAGTACCGGGGTTTGACTCTTAGGACCTCACGCTTGCTAGGCAGGTGCTCTGCCACTTAAGCCAATTTTTGCTTTTAGTAATGTCTCAGGTAGGGTCTCATTTTTGCCCAGGGCCAGCCTCAGGTCACAATACCACCTATGCCTAGTTGGGATTGCAAGCTTGAAACACTACCCCCCACTTCTTTGTTGAGATGGGGTCTTGTTAACTTTTTGCAATGGCAATTCTTCCCGTCTTCACCTCCCAAGTAGCTAGGATTACAGGTGTGAGTCACCTTGTCATAGAACTGCTGAGCACCCACAGATCCACAGAGCTGCCCAGCACCCACAGGTCAACAGAGCTCAGCTATAGAGGCAGTGGGTGCTGCTTCCAGTGAGACCCAGCAGGGGTGTCAGAACCAGGGCTTCTGGGCCTAGTACTGCCCTTCTCAGAAGCAGCCCAGCCATGTAGGGCGCAACTCCTAGAACAGGGACCAGCTAGCCTGCTGTAAGGGTCCTGATGGCCAGAGCTCTTAAAAGACAAGCATCTAACCCATAGGGTTGGGGACCAGGCCAGAGGCCACCTGGATGGGGCTGTGGGGTGCTGCCCAAAGATACATCAGGGAAATTAGGGAGGCTTTTTATTGCATGTAAATTAGACCTAAATGAAGCTGATTGAAAACAAAGGTGGGCACGGTGGCACATGGCTGTAATCCCATATAATCTAGGTTGGAGGCAGAAGGAGCTCAACTTCAAGGCCAGCTCTGGCAATGTTAGAGGGACCCTATCTCAAAAACAAAATACAGGCCAGGCATGTGATTCATGCCTGTAATCCCAGGTATTCAGGAGGAGGAGTATTGCCTGGGGAAAAAGCTAGTGTGATCCTCATCTGAACAAGTAAGCTGGGCATGGTGATGCACTCCTGCTTGGGGTGAAAATGGGAGACGGTATGCAAAGAAATAACTGAAGCAAAAAGGGCTGGCAGAGCGGCTCCAGTGGTAGAGCAAGTGCAAGACCCTGGCTTCAAACCCTAGTACCTCCAAAAACAAAAAACAAGAGAAAAGGAACCAGGCAGGGTAACAGCAGCTATGCCACATGGTCTGTGTGAGGAGGACAGGCAGGTGAGGGGTCAGGGCTGGGGGAAGGGGTGCGTGAGTGGTCTGGGTACCTAGGCAGGTCTCCCTGTGGAGGAGGGAGGAGGAGAAACCTGGATCACAGACGTGAGCGTGGGTCTCCATGTGGACAGACAGGAGGACACAGGCACAATTCCTGCCTGTCTCCTGAGAACCACTTGTCACCGTGAGGAGCCAGGGCTCCTTGGACAAATAGCTGGGCCCGAGACTGGGGCAGCAAAGAATGAGGGGGACCTGGGGCATCTTACCCTGCCAGGAAGAGCTTAAAGGATGGCAGACACACGTCAGCCGACCCAGGAGCTGGTTCTAAGGGTTCCACTGCCAGATTCAGGGTGGCCAGCGCGCCAAAATAAACAATGACAGAAAGGGCTGTGAGTGACCGAGTGAAGGAGAGCCAGCCCATGCCGATGGGAGAGAGCCAGCTCACATGTGAAAGAATGGCGGGTCAGACACCACCTCTGATGGCCCTGTCACACCTGACTCGGGCAGCAAGGTCCACAGTGCCAGCACTGGCTTCCAAGACCCATGTGATTCCCCAGACCCCAGTCATCTCCCACAGGCTGCACTGCAGCTTCCAAGGGGGCAGTGAGGAGACTCTGCCCACACCCACCAGGATGGGGCCAGTGGCCATCGTGGCCTCCTGAGAAGATGCTGACAATGAGGCAACCCATAGAGGACATTCATTCATGGGCCTGGGATCCTCAAAACCAGCACCAGGGAAGGCTGAGGGTTCTCTTGCCTTGGGGAGATGAAGGACCTGAGACAACCAGATGCCCACCCAGGAGGGGCTTCTTCCTTCAAAGAAATGTCACTGGGACACGGGCCAGGGGACACATGGTCCTTCAGAGACAGGTTTCTGTATGTTGCCCAGGTTGGCCTCACACTTGAAATCCTCCTGCTTCTGCCTCCTCAGTGCTGGGATTACAGGCACGCACAACCACGGTTGGCCTCTGCCATTTTTGTATCACTTCCTTAAGTTTCACATTGCTTCAAAATAAAAAAAAATAGGTTTGGTTTTCTTTTTTAGAAGCAAATGGGTGGTCATGGCAACCAACAGAGATAGGATCTCCAGGGATCTTGCCAGCCCTGGTGCTGGTCTGTGGAGAGAGGAAGTGCCAAGTGCCCACCAGGTGTCTGCATTCCCGCTGGGCCACAGATGGACTGACCTTCTCTAGCTGTGTGCCACCCTGCCTTTTATGTGGCTGCATCATGAAGTCAGCTCTGCCCTTCAGTCCATGGGTCCCTGGACACCAGCTTGGATTGTGATTCATTATACCAGAGGAAGGGGATGGGGTGTTTGGTACCATGAGGACTGGCCATGGTGTGCAGCGACAGCCGCGGCTGTGGCGCTCACGGTCAGGGTGGCCTGCAGGTGTTCTAGCTCTCCATGAACCTTTCCCCCTCACAGGCTGGAAAGTTCCCAAGCTTGTCTGCTGGTCACCTAACAGCAGGGCTGTGATCTGGACCAGTGGCCAGGCAGCAGTCCTGTGGCTTGTTGGGCTGAGGGCTCCGGGGAACTCTTCCTCGTGTTAACAGTGAATTGTTCAGATTCTGCGCAAATACCCTTTCTGTGTAAATCTACCAGAGGCGGTACTGATACTTATAGCCCAAACTCCGACCAGTAAAGTACAGAACTTTTGCAGCTAGGCCAGGTGCAGTGGCTCACACCTGTAAACCCAGCTACTCAGGAGGTGGAGATTAGAAGGATCTGAGTTTGACACCAGCCTGGGCAAACTCCATCTCAATCTATAAGCCAGGCATGGTGGTGCACATCTGGGATCCCAGCTATGTGGGAGGCCACAGGCGGGAGGATGTAAGTCTGGGGCCCGCCCCAGGCAAAATCATCAGACCCTACCTGAAAAATAACTAAAAGCAAAAAAGGACTGGTTCAAGTGGTAGAGTGCCCGCCTAGCAAATGCAAGGCCCTGGGTTCAAACCCCAGTACCACCAAAATATCAAGCAGCTGTCTCTGTCCTGTGGAACCAAGGCCTCGTAACTGGCAGGAAGCCACAGCCCCAGTCAAGAAGCCCTCAACCATGGCGCTGGTTGTCCTGTGGAAGCACCAAGCATAGGAGACAAGGAGAGAGGGTGAGAAACGGATCTCGCTGTTCCTAAGATGGTGAACACTTAGAAATATGAAAGTTGGTCCTGTCAGGCACTGCATCTCTATGCAGTTTGAAGGTGAAGAACAAAATATACCAGTCTATTCTTCATCCTCAAACTAGGCCTGGCCCACCGCTGCTCTGGGCTTGCATCCTGCTGCCTCACCAGGGCTGACTCCCAGCGCTAGTTCTTTCCAGGCAATGGCTGACTTACTCGCTCTCCTTCAGTGTGGTTGTGATTTTTGACTGCAGGTCTCTCTCGTTCTCCAGCTCTATGTGCAGGCGTCTGGATGCAGCCTGAAGACGGCCCACAGTTGCCCTGGAGCACAGCAAGCAGGGCAGGACGAGCCTGGGTCAGCACTGTGGTCCACCAAGAGGGCTGAAGGCAGCCTGGCCACCTGCCCTTGGCCTTCTCAGTTTCAGAAGCAGAGCCCATCTGCACTGGCCGACCAGAGGCGAGGACGTGTGGTGTCCACAGAAGGCTCTTCCTACATCCAGTTCCCCTCACCACAGGACCCCACCCTGACCCTGTCACGCTGTCTCCGCTACCGGCCTCTCATTCTTCTCTTAGTTTCCTGAGCAGGCCATGCAGGCCTCAGGCCCAGGAGGGACCCAGCACACTTGCCAAAACGCTGCCAGGCCTTCCTGCTCAGAGCTACGGTGAACCTCACTTCGTCCCTCTTCCATCCTGAGATGCAGCTCTCCAGGGTGCCACCCACCGTCCCAGGTATGGCCAGTGTATTATGGAGGGTGAGCAGGTGTCTCTTCAGTGCTACCACGGTGGGAGGGGGGCAGCCAGGGTGGGAGGGACTTCTTCTATGAGAAGAGTCTGAGTGACACTGACCAGAGGACCCGCACGGGGACACAGATCAGAGCCCCTGCATGTACGTGTACTGTGGGTTTGCAGTTGCTGTCAGGCCTGCATCACTGGTGGACACTGGGCTATGGTATCCCACAGAATCAGCTGGGTTTATAAAACCCACAAAGAAGCCACTTCTGTCACGGTGGCCAGGCATAGAGCTGCGTGGGCTCTGACACTTGTGTGTTGGGTTGTCTGTTCCCCACCGTGAAGGGACTGTCTGCGTCCACCTGGCTGGACACAGTAGGTGCTTAATACCCAGCTTGAGCAAGGGAAGGAAGCTTTATGGTACAGTGTGACCATGACCAGTGTGGTCCCACCCGGCCCTCGCCACCAGGATGACCTACATATTGTTGGCCTCTCTCTCTGCAGCCATCTCGGCTGTCACGCTCTCCTGCTGCTTGCTGAGGAGGTCCATCCTGTGACGACAAGCACTCAGCTCCTGTCTGGAATGGGGAAGTGAGAACTGGGACAGCAGTGTCCTGAAGCTCCAGCCTTGGAAGGGGGCAGCGGGCTGGGCAGAGACCAGGTCTTTCCTGGGGTCTCGCTATCAAGTGACAAAGAGCACCTGTTTTCTGAAAATCCTGTCAAGGGGATCAGCTGTGTAGCTTCCCCAGAGGTGACGTGCCGAGGTGGTGAAGGGCAAGGCAGGAATGGAGTTAGCCTGGGCCTGCGGAAGTCAAAGCTGACCACAGCTGCGCCATATGGGCCTGGGCCAAACGCTGGCCTGTGACTTTCACCTCCGTTAAAAGCAACAGAACAAACCCCAAAGGCCAAGCCCTAAGGGCCACTTGGAGGACAACAGGGACCAGCAGTGGGAGGTGCTGGGGGGGTGATACAGGTGACCTGGTGTGCTGAGGTCAGGCACAAATACGCTTCTGTTGGTCAGACCCTGACATAGCCAAGAGTAAACTGTCACGATCCTGCATTTGCTTTCAAATAATTCAGAAGAATCACAGATCTAACCAGCGCGCTGTCATGCTGGTGGACAGCCATCTGTTAGTTTCCATCTTTTCTGTACGTTTGGGACTTTTCTTCCTAGATGTTAGGGAACATCTAGGTGTGCCTGCTGACCAAGCTGGCAGAGGAAGGGAGCATAACCCTGCAGACCAGGCACCAGCGAGGCCCAGCCCAGCAGGCCGGGGAGGCAGGGGGCTGCCCAGTAGGGCTTCAGCTGCACCTGGCTCCATGTAGGTGACTGAGGGCCTAGTGGGACCTGGGAGGACCTTGGTTCTCTGGGAACTTGACAGGACGGAGGGAGGGAAAAGGGGGCTGAGGCCCTGGCAGGACTCTCACGCTGCACAGTGGGGAGCAGGAGGCAGCTGGGCCACAGGGGTTTTCTGTTTGTCCCTCGGCCAGCAGGCTCACCTGGTCTTCTGAAGGAAAAGGTCTTTCTCTTCGTGTATCTGGTCCAGGAGGTCCAGGCTCTTCTGCAGGTGAGATAATCGGGCTCTGTCTCTCATAGCTGTCGTCTTCTTCATTTTCTCAGCATGGGCGTTCTGCTCCTTCACTGAGCTTGGAAGGAAAAGGACAGAGGCGCTGCCCACGCCACCTGTGGCGCTCAGCGTGGCCTTGGTTGGTCTACGCAGGGCGGATCCTCATCCTGCTGTGCCCCTGAGGTTCAGGGGTGAGGGAAGCTGCACCCCGATAATTACCTGCAGGATCCCAGGGCGGTGGCATCTTCCCCTTCCTGAGGAAGAAATTCCACCTCAAACTCTGGATCCTCTAACTCGGCTCCTAGAAATCAAGGTGATAGTTAAGCAAGAAACTGCAGAGCCGGGTGCTTGTGACTCCCGCCTGTAATCCTAGCTACTCAGGAGGCAGTGATCAGGAGGATCGAGGTTCAAAGCCAGCCTGGGCAAGTAGTTCACCAGACCCTATCTTGAAAAAAACCCTTCAAAAAAAAAAAAAAAAAAAGGGCTGGTGGAGTGGCTTAAGGTGAAGGCCCTGAGTTCAAGCCCCAGTACTGCAAAAAGGAAAAGAAAAAAGAAAGAAATTGCAAAGCAAACATTGAGTCTGAAGTTCTAGGTAAATTCTGACCAGCTCAAGCTGGATGGCCAAGTTCTCAAAGAGTGGTGCAAGGAACCCTGGGCGTCCCCCAGACCTCTTCAGAGGTCTGCAGATTCAAACTGTCCTCACGACTGTGGCCACACTTGTTCTTGTTTCCCGTGCACAACGTGGAGTTTCAGAGGTGGCGGGACGTGGAGATGCAGCTGTCCTCTACTGAGCCAGCGCCTCTTTTACTTGTAATAATAATTGTTGGCATTAAAATGTTTCAGCTTTGCACGGTAAATGTGGAAAGGTTTCACCAACACACGTGCAAAGGCTCCTTGGGGCTCCGGCAATTTCTAAGGATGTAGGGGGGTTCTCAGAGAAAAACTGTCAGACATCGTCTGAAAAGCATGGCTGCAGACTTCCAGCCAAGCATGTCCAACTGAGCTATCGGGTTTATCTCCATGTCCTTGTCAAATCTGCAGAAAAAACTGACAGGGAATTTAAACGGTACCAGTCTCCCAAGTCAAGGAGGATGAGAAAGGGAAGACGGGTGAGAGGTGGAGCGCTCCGGTCGGGGGGTCAGGGACAAACTGCTCTCACCCTTCCTCACAAATCCAGAAAATGTGCCGTGGACAGGGAACCAAATTTCCAGACTATGATGGCTGCCTGGGGCCCAGCCACAGACCTCAGAAAAATTTCAGATCATCAGTAATGTAAAAACGAAAACCTGAAAGCTCCCAGGAAAAGAAATAAAAATAGGTCACATTCAAAGGATTGGGACAAAAATGGCGTGTGATTTCTGTGGTGATGCTGGGAACTAGAAAACCGTGGTCAACCACTTTCAAAAACTCTCAGCCATGACTTATCTTTTCAACAAAAGACAGTAGGGTAAGTTCTCTCCTTGAGAAAAATGTGAATCCAGTAGATACACTCTCCCGAAAATAAAGGGAATTAAAGAGCAACCAAGAGGCACATGGTGTCTTTCTTGTCGCTGGGACTCGTGTTATCTGGAAAGGGCTTTTATTACCATCCTCGGTGAGAGGGACGACGTTCTCCACAAACTCCTCCGCAGAAAGCAGGCTAGCAATGTCTTCCATACTGGGAGACAATTAGCTGTAAAAAATTATTACAAAATACAGATTAATAAAATCATAGATTAAAAAAAAAAACCCATGTGAACTTTGTAAGAATTAATTGGCTGGATGAGGTGGCAGAAACCCATAATCCCAGCACTCAGTTGGCTGAGGCAGAAAGATGGTGCATTTGAGGCCAGCCTAGTTATAGATTGAAAACCTATTTCAAAAAAAAAAAAAAAAAAAAAAGGCCAAGGGCTGGGGATGCTGCTGATGCTGGAGATGTAGCTTGGTGATTGAGTGTTTGCCTGTCATGCACAAGGCTCTGGGTTTGATCCCCAGCATCAGGAAAAAATAAAATAACATCAAAAAAATTCTTTTATAGAAACACATAAGAAAATGAATAGACAGGGCTGGTGGAGGGGCCCAAGTAGTAGAGCGCCTGCCTAGCAAGCGTGAGGCCCTGAGTTCAAACCCCAGTGCCACAAAAACCAAACCAAACAAAGCAAAGCAAAACAAAAAGCAATAGAATGAACAGACAAGCCACAGACTAGGAAAAAAAATATTTCTGACAAAGGTCGTGTGTCCAGAATACACAGGGAGCTCCTAAATATCAACGATATAAAGCCCAAACTCCACTTTTAAAAGGTCAGACTTTTACCCACTCACAAACTGGGAGGGCAAATCCATTCTTTCAAGCGGGAGGAAGATTACTAAGTGCCCTGCAAGATGCCTTAAAATTCTCTCTCTCAAGACAATTGTTTCTTTGTAGCTTTTTTTTTTTTAGACAAAAGTTTCTGTGGATTTTTTAAAAATAAATTAACTGTCATTGGTTTATTAGTAATTTATCCAAGTAACATGAGACATTGAGAATATTTTTAGTGAATTATTCTGAAACATGCTAAATTAAGCAGTGAAAACCACACCCTCTGCAAGTTTAAAACCATGTATATATATAATTTATGCACATCATCTGGAATTATTTGTTACTTTAATGTCAGTTGTGCCTTCCCAGTATTGATAAAATGTTTGCTTCTATAAAGTGGTTTTTGTTGCTTTTCTTTTTTTTTTTTTGTGGTACTGGGGTGTGAACTCATGGCCTCCTTGCTTGGCAGGTGCTCTACCACTTGGGCCACAGCCTCAGCCCTTTTGCTTAGTTTTTGTCTGCCGATTTGTTTTGGTAGGATTGAGGTTTGAACTCAGGGCTTCACAATTGTAAAGCTGGCGCTCTACAGCCTGAGTCATACCTCCAGTCCACTTTGCTTCTGTTTGCTTCGAAGATGAGTCTCACAAAGTATTTGCCCAGGCTGGCCTTGGACTGTGATCCTCCCGGTCTCAGCCTCCCAAGTAGCTAGGATTACAGGTGTGAGCCACCCGGCGCCCGTCCTTGTATACATTTTTTCAAGCCATGTTCTTGTTTCTTAGGAGCACACAGGAGTGCAGTCGTCTATGGAGATGCGTTTTCAGGAAACCGCCTGGCGGAATTCAAGTGCCATTTTGCACCCTGCAGCAGTGTGAGCGCCCATGTCTTTGCCAGCACCTGTATTGCAGGTGTTTTTATTCTGGAGTGAGCAGGGTCATCTCATCACGGCTTAGCCTGTGTCTCCCTAATGACGATGGATGCTGCACCAAGTTTCACAGGCTTATCTGGGGTTTCCAGAAGATACTTCCAAAATGGTCAAACCTACTTGGCTCTATGCTCACGAGCTCCTTGTGGCTGTCACAACATAGCTTTGTTAGGTGCCTCCGATGATGATAACCTATAGGTGGCACCAGGGACAGGCTTGGTGGCACCTGTCTGCCATCACACCATACAGGAGGGTACGCAGAAGGGTCATGGTCCAGGATGGCCTGGGCATAAACACGAGACCCTATCTGAAAAATAAACGAAAGCAAAAGAGGCCGGGAGTGAGGCTCAAGTGGTAGAGCGCCTGTCTAGCAAGCGTGAGGCCTTGAGTTCGAACCCCAGTACTGGGGGAAAGCAATTGGGACTGCATGCAGACAAGTTCCGTTTTAAACGACCCCATGGAGTCGTGTACACGTTGAGTGACAAGCACGGGTGGCAGCTCCACGCTGGTGTTCACCCCCCGACTCCTCTTGAACCCTCACTAAAAACACTGGGAGAATTCTTTGCTTTCAACCCACAGACCCGCACGTGAGGCAGATGAGAGGAGAAATGACGGCAGCTGAGGCGAGGCTGGGAAGTGGAAGGATGGGGGTGCAGCCCACAGATGGAGGCCGTTGCGTGGGGAGACCCAACGGCGTGTAGAACCCGAGTGCCACACTTGTGCGAAGGGCTCATGGGGCCTGGGGGCAGCAGCATCGAAAACCTTACAAAAAAACCTAAGGGGCCACTTAGGAAATAAACCAGGCCCAGAAGGACAAATGCCTTGTGGTTCCACTCACGTGTGGGGCCCAAAACAACCAAGTTCCCAGAAGAGTGGCGGCCACAGGGCGGGGGCGGGGGACCGAGGGCCGGGTCATCTTAGCCCTGGTACCCAGCGTGAAGGACAAACTTCCTAAGAGTCCTGTGTGCTTTCAAATGCCGAGAGACCATGTTCCAAATGTCCTCGTTACAGAAAGCTAAGTTCCTGAGGTGACGACAGTTACCTGGCTTGACTTAATTATTCCACGTGTGTCCACGAATAACAACATCGCTTTGAAGCCCGTCAACTTACAGAATTCTAAATCGTCAGCTTACCATAGAAAAGCCCACAGCAAGCATCATGCCTATCGTGAGTATTAAAAGCGCTCCTTTAAGATCGAGGACAAAGGCTGGGGGTGTAGCTCAGTGGTAGAGCACCTGCCCAGCATACACAAAGACCTGGGTTCGATCCCCAGCACCACCAAAGAAAATAAAAAGAAAAAGATTGCAAACAAAACAAGGGTGCTCACCAGAGCCACTTCTCCATCCCGTGTCCACTAAATCCCCAACCAGAATGACCAAATGTAACAGAAATAAGAGGTATGGGGGCAGGAAAGAGTATTATTTTCAGGGAATATGATCTGTGTGTATAGAAAATCCAGGTGACTATATGGATGAATTATTAAGATTATTGAGACATCTTAGTAATGTCACCAGATACAACTTCAGTAATAGAAAATCAAGTGCACTCCATGTACCAGGACAGATAAGGAGAAAATAGGATTGGGGAAAGCTGCTACTTACAAAAAAAAAAACCCCATGAAATACTTAAGAATAAACACAGCAAAAGACGTGACGATTTCCAAAGATGAAATGATGAAACCCCGCTGGGTGACATTAAAGTAGACCTACATAGGAATAAATGGAACAAGTGACCCAGTTCCTTTAACAATAAATGTCGCAGGGAACGAGGGAAGGGGCCGTTTCAGATTAAAAGGGCCTTAGGGACAAGTCCACCACGTGTGGGGACTGTGTTTGGCTCTTGGTTTGAGCAAACGACCCTAAGCAAGGACATGATTCCTGAAAATCTTCACAAACTGCTGTTCAGTTTTATTTATTCATTCTTAATTCAGTTATTACTGCTAATTTTGTTGGGGTTGACAATGATTTTGTGGTTATGCTAAAAGTAAGTCTTTCACTTCAGAGGTGAAACTAAGGCTTTAGAGGGATGAGAGGGGCATGGAGTGGGGGGGTTTCCACGACTCTCAGGATTTCCGAAATAAAAGCTAAAGAAAAGATAAAAACCCTAAGCAAACAAACAAATAAATACAGTAAGGGCAGGTTCAGGTATGGGCGGTTCACTGCTACGGAGAAGGCGATTTCACAAAACCCCACAGAGCTCCACAAGCGACTGTGTATACCCATTAGAGAAAGAAAAGAGCGAGAAGCCTCTCTGGTGGGTTTTACAATTTATATGGGAAAACAAAGGCACGAGAATAGTGCTGAGGAAGCGCAAGGGAGAAGGGACCTCCCACCAGTACTAAGGTTTATTCTGAGCGTATAAATTGGGACAGAACTAACGGACTGGTGCTGCTTGGTGCAGAGGTCTGACTGCTCAGCAGCGGCTGAGGAAGGCGGCTGAGAAACTGGACACCCACCCCCTCCAAAAGTCAGCTACTCAGCAAAACGTGAATTAAAGACAAAACTCTACCCCAGGGGAGAGGGTAGGGGGGCTTCATGACTTCAGGGTAGAGTTGCCTCCACCTGCATGAAAAAGTTCTTATCAGATGGCACCATGAGGACAGAAAGAAAAACCAGAGAAGATGATCACGGAGCAGCCCAAGGCTTAACGTGCACATCGAGTCCATGCAGAAGCACAGCCATAACACCGCAAACAGCTTGGTCAGCCTGTATGGCGACCACATCCATTCGTTCCTCTGCTGTTATTAACAGTGCTGCCTCCTGGATGATAAAACCATTTTGTGGTAATGAACCACGAAAACTTGCTCAGTATCATTTGTAATGAGGGAAAGGCAAGTTAAAGCCTGGGTGAGGTATTGTCACAGCCATGGGACCATGGATGGCCTGGCCCTAACAGGTGCTGGCAGGGCGGTGAAGCCATGGGAGGCTCTGACATCCAACAGTGAAGCTGGGGCTTTCAAAGCACCTGACCGTAACTAGCAAAAAACAACAAAAACCCTCACTCTCTGCTCTTTCTTACTGTTTTTGTAACAAATTCCCACGCACTGGTACCTTAAAACAGCCTAGATTTATTATCTCACAGTTCTGGAGGTCAGACTGAGCTAAAACCAAGGTGTCCACAGTTGTATGGCTTAGCTTGACGTGACTACAGCCATCTGGAGTCATCGCCGCCATGACTGCTCTGAAGTGACACCTAGCTGGTTCTTCCCGCATGGTTTCCCAGCAAACGATAATAGATGAAACCTTCCGAGTCACATTAACAGGTAGCAGTTAGACATGAGTGATGGGGGCTACACAGCAGGAACCTAAAACATGGAGAATCCTTGGTTCAGGGCATATGTGCTGACAGCCCCGATCTCTCTTTCTCGTAGTCTGCTTGCTCACACGCTGCAAGTTAAATTTGTCTTGACCTAGGCTTTTGGCTCTACATCCTTGTAAAAACACCTGTGAAACACGAGAGACCCGGGGAAGAACAAGAGGAAGGAGCCCTGGTGCAGACCAGTGAGGAGAAGGCCTGATGTCTCAGACTCTCCTCAAGACCAACCTTGCTCTGAGTCTTCAGATGGGTCACAACTTCCATGTCCCTGCAGGCCTGTCCTGGGAGGGACTTGATCCTCCAAGCCCCTTAGACTTCAACAAAGCCTGTGCCAGGGTGTGAGTGTCGTTCTTAACTTCTCTTTCTGAAACCTCTCTTTTCGGAGGCTTTTGCCTTCGAAAGTACCTTTTCTAGTCAAATAAGCTTTACTGTCATTAATAAACTTTGCTGTTACTTTCACTATGTTTTTCGTCTTGCCTGAAATCTCTTGATGGACACAAGAACAGAGATGGTTGTGCTGACCTTCCAGTAGCAGTCATGGGGCCTTACAACCGGATCCTGGCTATAGGGTGCACTTGGCTCAATATGATCTTAGATAAAACAGGTGCGTTCCAGCCAGGATGGCCACCTCTGTTGTACCCCATCGATGCACCCCTCCTTCTGACCCAAACTGTAGGCCTCAATCTGATATTGCTGTCATTCAGAAAGGCCCCTGTTATATTGCAGCGTGTGCGATCCTAGACTACCCGCCTCTTAGCAAGTGGGGCAGGTCCTCAGACACTAGGATGGGTTGTTCTGGAACAGCCCTCCTTTTTGGAGGTGCCTTTTCCACCTTTTTCAATTCTTGGCTCCAGGCCCCATCTCACCATCTTTAAAGCTGCATGTCAGCTGAGTGTGAGGCTTTCCAGTTCTTTCTCCTGCCTCCTCTACCACTTAAAAGACCCTTTCAGTTTGACTGCACTGGGCCCTGGAGATGGCCAGGGCCACCTCCCTTCTGAAAGGCAGCTGATAACCGCCCCCCCCCCGCCCCGAACTCTCCTTAGCAATGGAGCCTCAGATGTTCATGGGGTCAGAGGATCTGGACAGGTATGCCTCAGGGCCACTGTTCTTCAAAAAAATGCCCCTCCTTGGAGGGGGCAGACAGAAGCTCTCACAGGTGGCATTATCTTTCTGTGACTGCCATCACAAAGCTCCATAGCAGAAACTTGTTCTCACAGTCTAGAGGCCAGAAGTCTGGATTAAAGTGCCTGCAGGGCTGTGCTCCCTCTGAAGGTGCTCGGGAAGGGCCTGTCCCAGGCTTCTGGTAGTTCTCTGGTTGTCCAATGAAACTCCAATCTGCTCATGTCATTCTATGTGAAATTTTATGGTTTTTTTTTTTTTTAAGGTGGTACGAGGGGTTGACTTAGGGCCTCACACTTGCTAGGCAGGTGCTCTACCACTTGAGCCATTCTGTGAGCCCTTTCTGCATTTTTTTTTTTTTTTTTTTGAGATAGGGTCTCATTTTATGCCTGGGCCAGTCTGGACCTGGATCTTCCTGTTTGTGCTTCCCTGAGTAGCTAGGATGACAGGTATGCACCACTTTACCCAGCCATTGGTTGAGATGAGGTCTTATGGCCTTTTTGCCAGGGTTAGTCTAGAACCAAAACCCTCCCAATCTCTTCCTCCTGAGTAGCTAGGATTACAGGTTTGAGCCACTGTGTCTGGCAACAAGTTTTTTTTAAAAAATAAGGACATCAGTCATATTGGATTAGGGGCCCACCCTACTGCAGAATGACCTCATCTTAACTACTTGCAGCCAACAACCCTATTTCTAAATCAGGTTGCATTCTCAGATACTGAAGGGTAGGATCTCAACAAGTGAATCTTTTTTTGCTGGGTGGGGTCTTGAATGCAGGGCCTCATACATGCTGGGTAAATACTCCACCACTAAGCTATATTCTTTGCATGAATTTTGCAGAGACACAATCCCACTCATAACACACATACTAGGGATACATGAAGCTTTGCAGAGCAGCTGTGCTCACACAGCCTCTGGGCATGATTGATGCAGGGATGAACCAACGCTAGCCATGCACAAAAGTGTGGATGAGTGAGGATGGAACCTCTGACACTGGGGAGGAAAGAGGACATGAAGGCGCATGTCTTGCTCTTCCTTCTCCTTTTGCCCTGGGTGGGACAGGTCAAGCAGCACATGCAGTAGCCCAGACATGGATGTCAGTGCCTGGGAAGGAAGAGGGCAGCTCCAGGGAGGTAAAGGGAGTCAGAGCCCAGAGGGTAAGGTAGGGGTCTGCTGTGAGAGCAGAGCAACACATTTGCATAGCTTTGAATCACCTTCTAACAAAATGCCTGTTAATTACAAATGGAAGAATCAGTTATGTGAGGGATGAACCACTGTGACCACCTGCAGGGGGTGTGGGAGGAGGTGAGCAGACCACAGGTCACTTCTGTGACTCTTGCAAAGATGCATAATGAGAGTTGAATCTTCAGAAAACATCAGACAACCCAGTGCAGGGACTTTGGTCCATAACCTTCAAGGCACCTTAGGTGACTAAAAAGATATGCTGACAATTTGGAGCAAAGTGTGATCCTGGACTCAATTCCTTCACTTTGGGTAACTTATGGGATCAACCTGCAAAAACGCTTGACAGACTATAGGGCCAGGCATAGTGTTACTAACGACTTTGGTGGCTGAGTGGTGGCTATGGTGGACGATGTCTTCCTATGCACTGTGTGTTACAAAGTATTTGGTGGTGACACCTTACTTAAGGTGAAGGCACCTTACTCTCAAATGTATCAGGAAAAGTTTCGTGAACGTGCAACTTTTATCTAAGTTTGGGGATGTTTCAATTTTTTTTAAAAAAAGAATATACACAGTATTCCTCCATTTATATAAAACTTAGTAGGTGAAACTTAACCTCTGTTTAGAAATACGTTTGTATTCCTAAGGAAATTAGAATCACAAAAGTCAGCTCAAGGTCAGTAAGGCGAGATGGGGGCGGTATGACCTGGGTATCTATTGCTTGGTTGTGGCAGTCGTGTTTGCTTTGTAATGCACAGACATGAATTCATGCACCGTCTGCGTGCAGAGCGTATGCACTAGTGAATTCTCAATTGCGGATACCTGAGCAACCCGCCCACCACCTGGCTCAGTCCTTGGCTTCCAGTACAGGTTTAAGGACTGTAAACTAGTGTTCTAGTTTATAGAAAATAAAAAAAGACAGGCTCCACTTCCAAAGAAAGGCTGCAGATATTAAAGGCAGATAGGGTGATGAGGCTGGGGTGAGCCGCGCTGTCCCCACCTGGCTCCGGCTCAGGCACCTGCGGGTAGAGACGCCGCACCAAGGCCGGGCGGGGGGGGGGAGCCGGCCGTGCCCACACCCACCTCTCCAGCAGGTCCAGCGGAGAAGCTCCGGCGACCGTCCCCGGGCTACGACAACAACGGCGGGTCGGCGGCGGCTCGGTTTGGACACGCGTCCCCATGGCAACGGAAAGCTCCACGGCGGAGGGCGGGGACAGCCTCCCCCGCGGCGTGATGGTTCGGTCCCGGCAGTTTCCGCGCATGCGCAGAGCTGGGATCCCGGGCTGCTGGGCGGAGCCCGGGGAGAACAGCCCAGGACCGGGCAGTGCGCTGTGTGGTTTGGCCCACGCAGGCCCAAGTTTGCGTTAACTGCTAACTTAGAAGAACAGCACCGTTTGCACAAAAGCCGGGACCTCCCGCTCCACTTTGTGAACAGAAGATGAGCTCAATGTCCCCGCCCGGCAGCGCCCCGCCTCTCCCCTTACACCTGACGCCTGCCTGGGTGTGACCCCCACTTTGGGTTTGCAGGTGCGGGGGCCGCCCTTTTGTCGCTTGGAGCGAATGGACGTGTCCCCTGCCCTTCCAGGCTGCATCAGCCCCTCCTGGTGCCCCGAAAGGCCTGTCAGCTTTACCTCGGGATGGAGATGGCTCGGCCAGGGAGCCCCCACTTTTCCTGCTCGAAGTCCTGGGCTGGGATGTGGGGTGCTCGGGGCAGAGCACTTGTCTACCACCTCAAGCAAGCAAGCAGATGTTGGGCTTGAGGAACAGAATTGAACCCCGCTCATTATATTTTTTTTTTTTTTTTTGGTCTACTACTGAGTACATCCCTAGCTCCGTTATAGATTTTTCTAAAAGAAATTATACTTTTCTTTCCCACCCAAATGATGGAGTTTCTTTCTTATCAGCTTTGCTTCTCTGGACCTTTCCGATTCATGATTAATGCACTTTCTACTAGAGAAGGGAAGGACAAACACTGAAAGTCCCCAAGTCCACAGACAGGGAGCTGGTAGAGGAAGACCCGAATGCAGTAAGTACAGTTGTCAGAGGCACAGGGTTCACTCTGTGCCCGACCTCCAAAACATGTTGCTTAGTGAAAAAAAATCAAGATGTGGACAGTGTGCAAAGGATTTTATCTGCCAGGGGTAATAAGGATATACATGTGTATTTTCTTACATTACCAATGCTTACCAACCAGGGGCGGGAAGGCAGAGTAGAAACTATATTTTTCTAAGTGTGTATACATTTGGCAATAGAACTATATAATTATAAAAGCCAAAGATAAGCCAACATAGAAAAAAGAGTCCTAAAAATTGGAAACAATTTGGACCTAACTGTTCAAGTTAGGGCCTTAACCATTCGGAAAACGATCATTTCAAATGACTCTAAAACCCAACAGTTTAGAGCTGGGCATGGCGGTGCACACCTGGAATCCCAGCACTTGGGAGACAGAAGCAGGAGGACACCAATATTCATGGCGTGTTGCTATTATTCGTAGTAGCCACAAGTTGGTAACATCCCAAATGTCCATCAGTAGATGGGTGGATAAGCAAAATGTAAGATATGGACATGGATATTCAGTATTAAAAAAGATTAAAATTATGATACATACTACAATATAAATACATCTTGAAGACATTATGCTAACCGAAATAAAGCCTGATGTAAAAGGCTTTACAATATTTTAAAATTGACTTAAAGGATTTACATATAGTTGTCAACTTCACAGAGTAAAATAGAATGGAGTTTCCAGGAGTTGGGAGGAGAGAGGAATGAGGACTTTGATACTTAATGAAGCTGGAGCTCTGGAGGAGGCATGTTGATGGCTGCACAACCATTAGTTCCACTGACTGCACAGTTAAAAATGGGCAAAATGGGCTTTTTCACAATAAAAAGTTTCAATTAAACAAAAAAATTCCACTCCAGTCACAAAAGCCACATTTTAAGTGCCCAGGAGACCTGTGTGGCTAGTGGCTCCCATCCGGTCAGATATAAAAATGACAACCCATGCAGAAACGAAAAAAAGTAAGAGGGCTGGGGGTGCAGCTCAGTGGCAGAGCACTTGCCCAGCATGTGCCAGGTCTTTGGTTCCATCCCCAGCACTGCAAAAAGGAAGAAAGAAAGAAAAAAAGACCTCCAGCCCCTCTAGGACTGGCTTGTCTAGAAACAGCCACTGGACCTTGCAGCAATGAGTTCCCAGTGCCCAGACGGTTGTCCCATGTGCCACTAACCCATGCCACTAAGTGGGGCCACTGCTTCCTAGAAAAGTAACTGGCTTCAAGTAGGAAGCAGAAGATGATCCTGGAATCTTGTCTATAGAAAACAGGAAATTACCAAAGGTTCTGGGATTGTGTCAGAGGACACATTACAGTGTGAGGGCCCCACTGCCCAAGTAAGGACAACTTCAGCACCAGAAAAGAGTGAGCTGCAAGAGACTGGTGCACACAAAATGTACTAGTGTCCATGAGTTCGACTAAAAGACAAAGCCCTCGCTGGGTGCTTGTGGCCCTCGCCTGTAATTCTAGCTACTTGGGAGGCAGAGATCAGGAGAATCTTGTTTTGAGGTCATCCTGGGCAAAAAGGAAGACCCTATCTTAAAATTACCTAACACAGAAAAGGGCTGGTGGAGCTAGGGTTGTGGCTCAAGTGGTAGAGCACCTGCCTAGCAGGTCCTGAGTTCAAACCCCAGGACCCCACACCCACACAAAAAGATAAAGCCCTCATTGGCTACCTTTGTAGGGGCTGGTCTGAAAAAATACTGTTGCAGCCATGTGTGATTCTGTCACCCCTCAAGAAAAGATTGGCCTTTAGCTGAGGGGAACACAGCCAGCTGTCAATCTCCAGCTACAGATGTGGGGACCTGGGAGCTGTGCCCACCCTCCTCTGGGGGGGCCAGGCCAGTGACTGAGATGGGGCACAAGGCAGTCACATCCATTGATGTGGTTTTGATATGAAGTGTCCCCTCAAGAGGCACATGTGTCAAATGGCTGGTGAGTCCAGTCACTGAGAGGTGATTAGCCCATGATGACCAAATCAGTGATGGATTCATAATCTTACAGCATTATTGAGAGGTGAGGCCTTGATGGAGGAAGTAGGTCACTGGGGGCGGGACCTGGAAAGACATGGTTTATCTCCAGTCCCATCCTGTCTCTGTCTCTCTGCTTCCTGGCCTCTGTGCAAGGAGAAGCTTTGCTCCTCCACACCCTTTGGCCATGATGTTCTGCCTCACCACAGCCCTGAAACAATGGAGCCTGCTGACCATGGAGTGACGCCTCTTCCTTGTAAATTGTTTCTCGGGTGTTTGTCTCAGCGATGAAAAACTGACCAACGCATTCACCAACACAAGACTCCTCCAGTGGACACTCTGCCCCAGAGGCCTCCATTCCCCTTTGTTGGACTGGCCAAACCTGTCGGATGGGCATCAGGTCAGCTTCCTCCCACTTTCCTTTTGCTGATGTCAGATGAGTCATCCAGAGCTGAAGGCTTTCTCAGCCCAGCTCCACCTCCTCCCCTGATCGTTCAAAGGTGTGAACCTCCCCCAGCCCGCCATGAATCTCCAGATTACCAATTCCACCTCATGGACAGCTGAAGGACACATTCCACACAGGAATGGCCTGAGAGAGAAGACAGTAAGATGGGGATTTGGAACTGGACTGCTCACTGCCCAGCTGACAATGAGAATCGCATCTCAAGGAGTTGGGAGAATGGTGGCTGATGCCATGATGCAGGCTTTGGGGGAAGCTGGGTGTCTGGAGTTGCAGGATAACAATCCAGCTGCTACTCATTTGCATTAATATCCTACAGAGGGACCATGAAAACTCAGATGTCCTAACCAGCCATGGACACCAACTATGGACACCAAGCATGGAAGCCAGCACTGCTTTGGTAGCTGGCAGAGGCCTGATCTCCCAGGGTGGGAGGAAAGGAAATGCAGGACCAGAGTGAGAACCAAAGATCTGTGCTGGGCTTCAAGGACTGGGTCTCAGTCAAGCACAGCTTGCCATGCCCAGGTCAGGGTCCCAGTTGAGATGACCTGTGGGGTGGGGATCCCAGACAGATGCCCCTGAATCTTAGCTATTCAGCATCTTTTGGACTCAAGAGCCTACAAGGGCAGTTCCCACCATGCAGGAAGATGCTGAGAGGCCTCCCCAAAAGACAACAGTGTTCTCTCATGTCTGTCCCTCCCTCTCCCTTGGCTGCTGGACTGGCAACGAAGAAGAAAATAAAGTTTGTAGGAGGCTGTTGATCCATCTAGGCCACAACAGACCAGCCCACAGTGGTCACTCACACTGAGGTTCCATGTCCCCAAGTGGAAAGCAAGCTATTCCCCTCACCCTGTAGGAAATCAGGAGGGGGTTTGGGGATGTAGCACTTGCCTGGCAAGTACAAGGCTCTGAGTTCAGTCCCCAGCAGTAGAAGAAGGAGGAGGAGGAGGAAGAAGAGGAGGAGAAGGAGGAGAGGACGAAATCAGAGGGAAAGAGAGTAGTGATCTCTCTAAGCAGGCCAGTTTAGCCTTAACAGGAGAACAACCTGAAACTGCCTGGTGTCACCAGTCCACCTTGTGTCCCATGCTGGCTACTCACTCCTGCTGAGGCACTTTGTAAAAACTGGCTCTTCTGCTATGCCCAGCAGAGCACCCTTTCTGAATCTTTGATGTAATGCTGACCAATTTATGAATAACAATTCGTAAATAAAAGCCAACCAAATGGGGTGTTTTGAGACAGAGCCCCACTCTGTAGCCCAAGCTGACTTTAAACTCACCATCCTCCTTCCTCTGCCTCTTGATAACTGGGATTACAGGTACGCACCAACACACCCAGTTGAATTTTGTTCTTTGACACCTAGTCAGACATAAGCAGGGCCTGATAAATGAGAAAGGCACCACACACCAGGAGTGGGTTCCAAGATGCGTCATTAAGGGGCCAACATGTAGACTGGGAAAGGGGGGAATTTATGACCTAGGGCACAGAGCATGGGGGATCTGATACCTTTGCAAGACCCTAATGGATCCTGAAAACCCCCTGCCAAAGTAGTTGGAAATTTTCCAAAGGAGATGGACACTGTAAACAAGAGATCCAGGAAACTACTCAAACCTCCAGCCACATAAATCAAGGAAAATCACACCAAGACAAGCAATGATCAAATTGATGGAAATGAGAACTAAATAAAAACTCTTTAATACATCTAAAGAAAAGACACACAGATCCAAAAGAAATATCAATAAACATGCTGTGAAACACCAGTCAAGCCAGAAGACTACATAACCAGAAAATATAGAGGAAAGAGCAAAAATGGACAAAAGCACTGGGATGACCTAAACATGGACATCCAGG